CACTCGGACGACCCGTTCCTCACCAGTGACGTTAAGAACTCACTCACAGATTTCCCGTCGGTTCTTCTCACGTCGCCTACAGTTGTTCAGGAAACAGGGCTTCTCCGCAGGCGGTCGGCCACACTTCCGCAGCGAGTGCCACGCACCCGCCCAGCCTTGCCGGCTTCGTTTTACTCCCTCCCACGTGCCAGATTTCCGCAACGGGGTTTTTATAAAGCTCCCCCACGCCATTTCGATCGATTTATTCCTGGGAGATCTCAAGAAAGAACTGCTTCCGAAAGGTTCAGGACCGGCAAACCACCACAGGAGCTAACGACAAGCGAGCGGCTTATCCGACATAGCGCAACCACCGAAGATCCTTTTGTCTACCGCCGAAGGGTTGTGACACCCCTAGGGCCAGAATCTCGCTCTCGGTCACGCGCCGAAGTCGTTGCGAGCCGGAATGAAGGTCAGCCACGCCCAGCTGCATACTATGCTGCGTTTGATGCTGACTTTGCTTAGTGGGAAATGTGCTTGGCCCGCTTGACCAAAATAGTAATGATGGGAACGACGCCCACCTTGATGTCAGCACAGCCTGGACTGTTGGCCTAGGAGGGACCGCAGTTAACAACGGTCGTGGCCAACTGGTCAGAAGTGGAACCAACGCCCCCCTCTTCTCGAATCACTTTCTCAACCGCGAGACTGAGAAGCGAGGAGGAGGTAGAGAAGCACAAGGCCTGACTCGCGGCTGCTCTTGGCCTCGACTCGGGCAGAGCGTATCCTTGGTGTCAACTCGGCTCGTCTACTCGTAACGGCTACTGCAAAAAGCTAGGGTACTTCTCTTTCGCATTGGAGCGGGGACAGAGTGGATCAACGATGGACTCTATTTCTCAAATCTCAAAGGCCACTCGGGAATCGGGCTCTGCCGACTGCTTCATTCAAGTAAGTCTACAAGCCCTATTCGGGCCTGGCTGCCAGGGCACGCTGACGCTCACAGGGTGCTCGACGCTCCGAATTTGCGAGATGACTTTTACTGCTCCATACTGGCATACTCTCTAACTTCCCGTACGCTGGCAGTTGGTCTGGGTAACCTCCTTTACGGGTGGTCGGAAACCCGGGGGGTGCAGCTGCTCAATGCTGGAATCGATCCCGATTGTTATCTGACCAGCTTGTCATTCTCATCAGCTGAGGGATGCAAATCTATCTTGGCCTTCGGAAGGTCTGACAATACGCTGGGCCTGCTGTCGTTGTACGACGATCCGGGATACATCTGCCCTACGTTCCGCTCCGAGACCCCGGTTTGACGTTATTCAGCCCTCCGCCGTTGCTTGTCTGAGCTGGAAAGCGGGTGTGCACCATCCCGCCTTCTAGAACCGTGTTAACCCCGGTATTCCTGTCAAAAACGAGGACCTCCTTGTCGGCGACAAAGCTGGAGTAATCAACTACTACGCCCGTTGAGTGGCCGGAGAGGTGCGGAAGTAGAACGCAGACAACTGGCCCGGCGACTTGAACGTTGCTAACGCCGCTTACTGGGTCCATTTCCCAGCAAATATGTGGGCTATCGTGGTCGAAGAACGGAGACGTATTTGGCACAGGAGGGAATGACAACATTTGTTGCCTGTTCGAAACCGCCAAGGTTCTTGAAGCCCACCGGCCAACCCGTCCTCCCGACCACGAGGACCAAATTGAGTCATCAACAGTGGCCCATTCCCATGGGCTGAGCGAGTTTTCAGAGGCGGGAACCGAGGTTCCAGGTCACGAAAAGCGCTCCTTACCAGTTAGTCACACGCATTGGTCCCGGTGAGGAGAAGCACCGGTGGGTTCACGGTGCCGCGGTCAAGGCTATTGCATTCTGTCCCCTGGCAAGACAGTCTGGTAGCCACTGGCGGGGGCTCCAACGACAAGTGCCATCCACTTTTTCCACCACCCGGGTCCGGTGCAGCACTGGCTTCTATCTCGGTCTCTGCCCAAGTAACCAGCCTGATCTGGTCTACAACTCGACGCGAAATCGCAGCGACGTTTGGTTACGCCCAACCCGGACCATCCGGTACGCATCGCCGTCTTTCTCTTAGGCCAGAGTGCCGCCAGGTGGCTGCCATCCCCTGGGCTGGCGAGCACCGCGCGCTCTATGCCATCCCGTACCCCTGCGGGCCCGACGATGCGAAGTCAGCTGGGAGAGAAATTCGGGGCGGAAAGAATCGCAAAGGGGTCCAGGACCGCAGTCGCACCGCAAAGGAAGGTTGCATTATTGGTTGCGTCCAGTGATAAAAGCGTCAAGTTTCACGAGGTTTGGGCGGCAGACAAAAGGGGAACGGCTGGCGTGGCGGGGGTACTCGGCGGGAGCCCCATCTTAGAGTTCTTGGAAGGTATTGACCGGGAGGGAATGGTGATTCGGTAAGTCACAGGACGGAAAGGAGTTGGGGAGTTGGTTTTGGGATGCGGAGGGAACAAACGTTGGTGTACAGCGTTGCCTAACCTTCATTGAGGGTAAGTTGCTATGATGATGGGGAGAAGGAAGGCAGATTCGATGCAATTACATTAATTGAACCGTATTTGTTATGCTGTGGTACGCGTCGTGGTTGTTGTTGAGTGCTTGGTCGTCGGATCACTGGTGTTACCCCTCAACCACCCTTTGACCCCTGAATGAGGGGCTAGTAAAGTTCAGAATCATTCCAACACCAAAACAAAAAGAAAACAGACATGTGTCCAGCGCAAACAAAAGTAATGGATAATGCCCAATAACAGGATTGAACTGTTGACCTTCGCATACCATATACAGGTGCAACCGGTATTAGTACGACGCTCTAACCAGCTGAGCTAATCGGGCTTGTGGATTGTTGATGATACCCTGCGGATGGAGCGTCCATGAGCGGAGACGAGTCGGCGGGACCTGGAGGGATGCTGAATAACAACAACCAAAAATACCCGGCAGGTCATTGCATGTCAATGAGTGGGACGATAATAAAACGTGCGTTGTGCTGCTGTGTCGCACCGTGTATCAGAAGACAACTCAAAAGACCGCCAGCTAGCTGGCAGCCATCTACCTGAACACCAAACGCCATACCATGAGCGAACCAAGCCATACATCATCAGCAAAACAGCCCACCCAGCCCATGTCAGTATACACAGACATTCGGATCCCCCGCCCGCAGGAGCAGCCACACCCGAGCCCTGCTCCGGCGGCAGCAGCAGTATTCGAACCCCTAACATGGCGCCCTCCCTCCCCAGCAAAATGAGAAGACCACCCCCCACCCCACAGCCAGCCAGCCAGCCAACACTCACTTCAAAATGACAATCAACAACACCAACACAATAATCAGCACTACAATCGCCGTCATCTGTCTCCCCTCGCCACTCTCCGCCGCGCCCCTCGCAATGCGCCCAATCTGCCTGCGCGCCCTTCCCAGCGCATTCGTCTGCCGGTCCATCGCGCGCTCGCTCTCGTCCAGCATCAGCACCTGGTCGTCGAGCTCGTCGCCGATCTGCATGGACAGCTCGCGCTGGCGCGCGATGGACGCGCCCAGCGCGTCCAGCTGCGCGTCCTGCTCGTGCAGCACTTGCTGGTGGTAGGCGTGGATCTGCGTGTTGGACAGGTTTTGCGACGTGATGTGGTCGCGGTAGCCGGCCGTGTCGTCGTCGAGGGAGGGGCTGTCGCGGTAGGGGAAGAGGGGGTTGTTGTTGGAGCGGGTGGTTTGGGATTCGAGGTCGGTGGAGGGGGAGGAGAAGCGGACAGCTTTTTTGGCGGCTGATGGTTTGGTGTCTGCTGGTGGGGGGGTTGGTGGGGAGGGCTCGGAGTGAGAGGATTGCGCGTGGGCGAAGTCGGCGGCGAGGGAGGGGTCGTTGGGGTGGGTGAGGGTGGAGGTGGCGCCGTTAGAAGCGTGGCCGCCGAATTGGGTGGTGAGGTCAACGTATTGTTTGCGGAGGGAGGTGAGGGTGTCGTTGAGGGAAGAGGCTTTGCTGGGGGGGTGTTAGAGGGTCGGTGGTTTTGAGAGATGTTGGGAGGGGGCGTACGATTCGTCGCCTGCTTCTTCTAGCCGTAGCTGCTCCTTCTCGAGAGCCTCAAGGCCTTCGCGGAATTGGTCGAGGGAACGCGAGATGTGGCCATCTTGTGAGTCGCGGCGGAGGTTGAGCGTCTTTGCGCGCTGCTGCTCGAGGAGGGACAGTTTGATGTGGTCGGCGAGAAGGAGGAGGGCGTTGGGGTTCGACATGGCGCCGGTTGCGCGAGGCTCGGATTTGAAGGAGAGCAGTTGAAAATGCGATGCGCAACAAATTGAAATGTCGCTGGCGCCCGGGGTAACCGGAAAGAGAAGAACTGAGGTCGGCGGAAGCAGCGGATGTTGAGCGAGCGCAAATGGCAACCTGCTACTTCTTCGGCTGGAGTTGATGGTGCTGGTTGGTTACAGTCTCACCCCGGCTAATACCGTACCATTACACATTCGTTACGTAGGCCCAGTACCTAGGCTGCCAGAATGCAAGAATCCGTCTGGTCTGTGCACCTGAACCCACCTGGCCCCCAATCCTCCAATCCAACTTGAATCGCGAAACTCCTACAGAATAAGCGTCCACCACCGAGTTGTGGTCATCGCTTTCTTGTAGCCCGTCTTTGTCCATCATTTCGGCCGTTATAAGTCATTGGATATGGTCGAGACGGGTGGAACGGCGCGCGATACGATGACCGAACATGCTGCTGGCGACAACGTGCCAGGACAGGAATCGCAGGACACCACGCCGTTGAACCAGTCGACCGAACACCACCAACAACCGCACACATCAACCTCCACTACCAGTCCCACCATACCCACCACGGAATCTCCCATCCCCGACATCCCAGCTGCCTTCCCTAAGAAACGCCGCGGCCGTCCCCCTGGTCGCCCAAATGCTACTGTCCGTGATGCAGACTACGAAGATAACGCATTGGTACAGGCATGGAACGCAGCCAAAGCAGACCGTGCCTCGCCAGCAGTCTCGATTTTCATCCGGGATGCTCTGACAGAGCAGTCCCTCGTCCACGACACTCAGCGCAACATCTTCCGCATGCCCAGCCGCGAGACCATCCTTTTCGTGCAAGGCTGGATCACCGCCAAGCACATCGCCTCCCAGAGACCAAGTTACGTCAACGGATTGTTGATTCACTCGCGAGGTCAAGACGCTGCCGTAGCATGCGCCCAGTGCGCCGAGAAACGTTCCAAATATGCCCTGGGCCCCTTCCTGAGCTGCCGCGTGCTTCCGGGGAGTTACCACAACAGCTGTTCGAATTGCAAGTGGTTCGACAACACCTCGAGCTGCTCCCTTTATACCGGCCCGAAACCGAATCGAAAACGCAAAGCCAAGGAACAGCTTCCGCCGCCGCCAACAACCGGTGTCGGCCCGGCTTCAGACGGCGATAGGCCTAATGGCAATTCTTACGGTACCTCGTCTACAGCGGGAGATCAAGGAAGTGCTCCGCTCGAACCAAAGTCACATCCCCAGGCTCAACTCCAACCCGAGGCGGATATGGCCACCCCATCCACTCAACCACAACCCCACGCCGGAATGAGCGGCTCCGAGCTACTGGAAACGCCCAGTCAGCCGGACTCTTTGACCGACTCCCACTACGCCCTGCGAAAACCTGGCCAGGACGAAGACGCCGAGTCAGCGGACGACGGCGATGCAGAGTGAGTACAGGGGAATGCCAACGCGGGATTGATTCGGCATGCTGATTGATGCTGCAGCTACGTATCTGTCCAGTTGGCAGCTCAACTACTGCCAGAGCTCCAACGCTCGGATCCCTAGATGGGAGAAGGCGGTCAACGCCAGTCGCGCTCAGGCCAATATCCCGCCTTCGGCGATATCATGAGTATTTGTATTCTAAATTATCCCAGCCGCGGCCCGCGGTGCATGGTGAACCGGTAGGCAGTGTCAGTTGCTGAGGTCACGCTCGAGTCTTCCGAACTTGCCTCGAAAGCCGTCAGCTGTTTTCTGCTCGCGGTTCCTTATTTTATTACGTAGGATGGTCTTTTAAGCGCGTATACAAGCCTAGTGGCGTCTTTGTGTATCATATCGTCGGACTTTGGTCTGGAGCAGAGCCCAAGATCCTTGTTAGCTGTAGAATAGGGGTTCGATTCAAACTTTCATTACAAACACATCCCTAGGTCACATAACCAACATCATCCCCCCTGGCACAGGTGCCAAAGAGTCAAACGTTGTTTTCTAGTTGGGAATGCAAATCACAAATGACCATTGGAAGTCAACCGTAACCTGGTCATTAGTTGAATCTTTGTTGTAAGGGATCCGAACTAGGCTCGACCCCCCCAGCGCCCATGCTACAAAAGCCTTGGGTATCGCCTCGATTTCAGTACTCTTTTTGCGACTCTATAACTAACTCGAATTCCCGCTTTTTTGCTTCTTCGGCAACTCCTACGCAACATATCATTCAAGATTGACCAAGAAACTATGGAATATTCACTCGACAAACAAATGGAAGTCGGTCGCTGCAGCGACGAAGAGATTTTTGGCACAGTCAAAAAATGGGTAAGTCTACCTAGTTGCTGAAACCAACACAACCGTGAAACAATTCTGCTCAACGTTGTACCAGTACGGATACGGCGACGAAGTCACACTAGTATGGGCAGAGGAGAAATCAGAACATTCGAAAGCTGTGGTCCTGGGCTTCCCGACTGAGATAAAGGACGGCATAGTGCCTCGTATTACACTCGGTACCGCCAAAGGTTCTGCCGTACACTACGGCGTTCGGGGCCGGAAATGGCTCTTTGTGGGCCCACATGGCGCATGCCATACAGCCCGCAGGCAAGACAGCACAAGAGGGATCGACATCTCGGCTGAGTAGCCAGTGTCGTTATGGGAGGTAAGGGGGTGATGATGGACATTGCCAATGGCTGCCAGGCGGTAGGGAAGGCGTATGGTAAGCCAGCCGAGGCGGCTAGGATTATCTTCTTGGAGCCGTCTCCTTGGGAGCTGGAAATCTCAACTGGAACCCCCAAACCTCTTCGCGTTTTGCCCCCTTAATATTGGCGTTTTTCGTTTGAAGTGGTTGAATCTCTTGGTTGTGTGCTTGTGTCTCATGTTAGAGGTCATTCCGTTACTTTGCGGGGCCTCCGGGCTTATTCATCCCTTATCCGACGTTTCGAAGCTTTGGCTTGAGCCTTTTATATATTGTCTTTTATTTATTCTTTTATATCTCCCCCGTCTATGTTCTTTACGTGGGTAAGGTACTTTTCATTTGTTTACCCTCTATAAAGGGCTCTAACCAATAGAATTGTGGGAAGCAGGAGTATGGCGACTGAGAACTTGGATCATGAGCCAGTGACAGCGCTGATAAAAAGTGAGGCCACCCTTCTTTTCTATTTGACGGAAGAATTACTATGCAGCCCAGCGGTGGCAGTGTGGCTGCCACGCATGATGGACACCATGTGTGCCCAATATGCACAGCCCAGCCCCTAACTGCAGTGTGACAGAAGAGGTGAAAATAAAGCGGGCAAAGAAATGGCACTTGGCCTCGGTCCTCGAGTCCCCGAGTCCTTGTCATCTCTAATCCATCTCGATAGGCGGCAAGGAGGCACTCTCAAACACCATGGTCAGTGAAGCACTCAGACGACCCTCCCCGCCCAAGCTGATGGCTCGGATTTGCAGTCTGGTTTGGAAATCCTCGGTGCCGTTACGGCTGTCTTGGGCCAAATCGAGTCGGCCATCGCGCTGGCGGCCCGGTTCCGCACAGCCCACCAGCGCCAAAAGGGTTTGACGGCCGTCCTCGACCAGCATGGGCAGGTACTCGTTGAGACGCAGCGCATCGTTACCCTGGTCAAGGAAGAGGAGGCGTTGCAGACGGCCGCCGTCACCGCCGAGTTGGTCACAGTGGATGAGTCCGTCAAAGGTTTGGTCGACCTCCTCAACCGGATCCAAACAAGTGGCCAGGACAAGAGATCCAGCCGCTTTTCCCAGATGTTCTACCAGCTCGCCCACGGGTCGCGGGATGAAGGAGACCTGCGCACGGCTATGGAGAGCCTTGGGCGTGCTAAAGGCGACTTGGGCCTTTGCATCAGCGTCGCTCATGTTGGTCTGAGCCGGGGTATGCAAGACACCTTGGTTTTAAACACGCGCCTGCTCGAGCGTGTCGATTCTGCGGTCCGAGCCGTCGTAGGAGAAGACCAGGGACTGGCTATTGGCAAGCTGGCCCGCACTCGGCCTGTCCAAGGTGAGTATTCGAATCTGGTATCGTGACTGTGACTTCGTAGCTGAGCCAAAAACAGAGAATGGCACACTGGTTATCACCGCCGCCGACCTCGCGTCCATCGAGCCTCCCGGCCGCATCCGCGGCCGCCGCCAGTCTCCTGCGAATGGGGACGAGCCTGCGTCTCAACTCATCGTAAGCGAGAACATGACAGCAGATCAGGCGCTCCAGATCAACGGGCCTGTGGGCATGCAGGAGTGGTACTCGGCAAGCCACCTCATCCAGGGCAATAAGGCTTCGGCACAAAGCGTTCAGATTAACGGGGCGATGTCGCCGGATGCCTTTGCGGCACTCCTGCAGGCAAAAGCTTAGCCAGAAACGACCGACATCAGTCCTTGCGCTACCAGAAAGCACTTATTAGAAAACCATTCAGTTGAAATGTTACATAGAAAAACTAGTTGGATGAGCTGGTTAACATGAAAAGACAACGGTTACAAAACCGATCAGTGAAACGCCCGCCACCCCTGAACTTCGAATCCCGCCCTTCTCTCATCTTACGCCCTCTGAAGCAGCACCGGTAAGCAGCTCCCTTCTTCCATTTACGCCCTGACTCCATTCATGGCCAGAAACATCTTCTGCACATCATCCGCGGTGCCAAAGACAGGGGCGTTGATCTGCGTGCCATCACTGGACTCGTTGAACCTGGACTCAACGACCAGGCGGCGGTCCTTATTCTGGGTAGCGGCGAGGGAGCCATTGATCTGGATCTTCCCGCCCTTAAGCTGCTTATTACCCTCAGCGTGGTGCAAGTCGCCGGGCCGCGCGCGCCGGACGGCATCGCGCGCCTGCTCGAGCTCGCTGACGACGTTGCCGACATCGGTCAAGGTGTAGCCAGACGGGAAGCTCCTGGTGAGCTTCCTGGCCACCTCTTTCAGCGTGACCAGCGCGGCGCCGACGGCCGGCGTGTGCTCCTCGGTCTGTTTCTGCAGGTTGGACAGGAAGAGCCACACCTTGTCTAGCCGCGCGATGAACGCGTTGATTCCGGCCTCCCGGTTTTTGTAGTCGACCGCGTTGCTGGAAGTAGTGCTCTTCTGCCACGTCGTGATCCAGCCGCGCATGATGTTCTTGGCGCTGACGATGTACCCCATGGCATTCTCAGCCTCCTTGGGAATGTCTATGACGCCCATCTGGGAGGGAAATTTAGCATTGTTCGGGGAGGATAGGGAGATGAGAGCCGAGGGCGTACCTTCGGGAGAGTACTGTGGCGATGTCGTGGTTCTTGAAAAGGATGTGAAAGTGGGAACGATGGCTCGAGGCGGGCAACTCTGAGTGCTTGTCCTTAGAAATGGGATAGAGAGAGAACTAAAGGACGCAGATGGGCCTCGTCCTCGCTCTTTTATTCTTGATGAGGACCGCCGATAAGAGTGGCCCATCTCAAACAGCCACCTCGAAGCTCAACAGTCGACTACCGGGCAGACGCGTCCATCTCCCATTGTCTAGCTGAAGTCGTGTCGACGCCTGATGTCACCATCTCCAGCTTCCTCCTTCGCCGGGGAATCATCGAGGAGGAGAGTAGAGTCAGGCCCACTTACAGACTGACGTACATCTTTGAGAACATGACTCTTCGCGATTCCGGGAGGCAGTGTGTGATCAAGACGTTTTGATTTGACGTATGGGAGAATGAGGCATGCGGCACTTCCATGGGTACATAGACGTGGCGGCATGGGGATCGCTTTGGTAAGGTGGCTTTCGTTGGGCCGAAAGGCACTCTTGCAGCCCATCCAACTATAGCGGCAGTTGTTGTCTCAGCGACAGAAGCAGCTGAAATATCGGGCGCTCTAGTCTAGATGCCCAACCACCTCCTTGGCAGTTCTCATCTTTTCCAGCCTACCTTACTCAAGCGATCCACTGATCGTCAACCCCGGGGATTAGGCGCATACTGCGCGTGCAGAAAACCCCTGATTCGTGGCCAGAGAGGGTAAGCGAGATGCATGCCGTTGTTTTCTGATGTGGTGGTCACGCCCCAAGAGATGTTAGCCCCCACCCCATCTCGTCCAGACACCTACCTCCTGGCCTCCCTGTTTCTGAGAAGAGTTGCCGCTACACAAAGAAACAGAGGACTGCCATCGCTTGACTTTCAACCGAGCATGCAACGGAAACTCGAGCAGGAGAGTTGTCCCCTCCCTACAGGTACTGTTTCACGTGTCAGTTTCTCGTGCTGCTAGCCTTCTTCTCTTCTCCGTTCGTATTAGGATATCAAAACGTATAATAACGTTAAATCACATTTCCCCTCATCTTGTAAATCACGCGCGCCGGCACACCGCTATCACCCGGTGTGGAAAGATGCAGTATGGACCCGAGCGTTGTATCGACCGCCACAAGTAACAACGCAGCTGGCTCGGCATCTCAGTATAACGCGCCGGTGACCATCTACAATGGGAGTAAGTCATGCCTCGGCCACGCTATGGATAGTGAAATGTCGTCGCTTTGGCGGGCTCAACACTTTGCTCTACCCGTTGTGCCATGAGGAGCCTGACCATCTCCCTTTTCAGTACCCAGCGAAGCCACGCCCCCTAATCCTGAAAAGAGACGGGAGGAATTGTTGAGTCGGATCGAGCTACCGGAGTACGTGGACCCAAAGGACAAAATCCCATACAAGGTGAAAAACACGGGCGACTGGTTTCTCTCGAACGACGACTTTCACAAATGGAGGGACAGCAAGTCCTCGAGGCTGCTCTGGCTATCAGGCGACGCCGGGTGTGGCAAATCCGTTTTGGTAAAGCATCTCACTGAGAGTCTGAGTTCCGGGACAGTTTGCTATTTCTTCTTCGAGGCCGAGCCGGATGCCAGGGAGGCCTGATCAGCGCCCTCCGCCGCATCCTCTTGCAACTTTTCAGCCAAGACAACATCCCACTCCCGAGCAAGAGCCAGGGGCTACTCAAGACAAAGACGACGACGACGCCTTGGAACTTCGACCATCTCTGGCAGCTGCTACTCCACACGGCAAAGCAACGCGGCGTCGGCGAGATTGTGTGTCTCCTCGACGCCGTGGACGAGTGCGGACCGAAAGAATGGGCGGCTCTCTCGGGGGCCCTACAGCGGCTTTATGGGTCCAAGGAATGCGAAGCCTTCAACCTCAAGTTTCTGCTGACCAGCCGGCCCTACAATCGGATCCACTGTCGGTCTCAGATTTATTCAAGACATCTTATGCCGTTCACGTCCGTGAGAGTGCGACCCCCTGCGGAGCAAGCTCTCGCACGAGATTGGAATCTTTGTCAACTCGCAGATACAGAGCCTTGCGCCGCATCTCGGACCAGTTACCCGCTGTCTGCTTCGGGACGCCCTTCTCAGTAGCGCGAAAATGACCTATCTGCCAGTCCATCACACGCTCGGCGCCATCAACAAGGGCCTCAGGGTCAGCCGAGGCCGCGTCGTCGGGATTGCCTGGCGGCTCCCGGATGACCTTGCAAACGTGTACAAGAAGATACTCCTTGAGAGCAACAACCCCGAAAGGGCCACTTGGGTACTGCAGATTGTGGTGGCTGCGGCCGAGCCATTGACCGTGGCGGAGATGGCCTCTGTGTTGGCCACCATGGCGGGCGAAGACATTTTTGACGTCGACGGGGAAAACGACTTCATCATCCATGAGACGTGCGGACTCGTGACCATGGTGGATTCGACTGTCCGCTTGATCGATGAGACGGCCGGTATGCTCCAGGCCAAACGCCTCACTGTGTCCGGCGCGCAGCGTCGCTGGGACTCACCGAAATCCCATCTCACGCTGGCCCAGGCCTGTATCAATCACCTGCTACAGTAGTACAGCCTGAGTTTGAGAAGAACCCCCTGGGGCGAGACGACCCTGCCGAGCCGTATCTTCAAGGCCACCCGTTTCTGAACTATGCTTCTCGACACTGGGTCACGCATTTTTGGGCATCATCTGCCAAGGGGCGAGAAAGTATGGCCGACTCAGTGATTGCGTTATGCAACCCGACCTCGCCTCACTTTCTGACATGGTTCCGTCTCTACTGGGAAGACGCGAATCCAGGCAGGGAGAAACTCCCCGAGGGGTTCACAGCTCTGATAGCTGCCTCCTATCTTGGACTACCACCTTCTCTGATTACCTCACTCATACAAGGAGGGGCGGATCCCTGTGCGCGAGACAGTACTTTTAATCGGTCACCGCTTCACAGGGCCGCTCTGCGGGGGAACGCGGAAGTGGTTAGGGAGCTGTTAGGTGTCACTGGTAAAACGGCAACTTTGGATAGCAATCCCGATAACGCGCCTTTGACGCTGGCTCGGCTCAACGGCCACGCCGCCACAGTAAGCGCCCTTCTCGAGATGGGCCACTACTTGACCTTGGCCAACCCAAATGGCTGGTCGCCCCCGGACTCGCGGTTGTTCCGTGACTTTACCACGACCATTCGGATGATGCTTGATGCGGGACACGACACGACCTTCACGAACAAGGAAGGATGGACGCTTCTGCACGCCGCTGCGAGTTGCAACGACACCGAGGCACTGACCCTGCTCTTAGACGAAGGGATTCCCCTGGAGACTACGAGCGTAGACGGATGGACGCCGCTCATGACGGCAATCCGGCAGAGGCATCGTGATGCCGTCAAACTACTCCAACGGGGAGCCGCAGCCGGGCTGAAAAACGGGATGGGGGGTCGGGTATAACTTCTGGCGGCGCAGTACGGTTTCGTTGATGTGCTACAGGCGGTTCTCGACTGCGACACAGCAACAACACAGTCTGATCGCCTCGCAGCGCTAGACGAAGCCGCCGAAGGCGGCCAGCTCGAAGCCTTCACCGTCCTTCTCGATGCTCCCACGGAACCCACCAGCAGAACCGACGCCGCCGGCCGCGCCTTGATCACGGCCGCCACCTTCGGCTATGAAGGCATCGTCACCTTGCTGCTGCGCGGGGAGTTCAAAGCCGCCTTCTGCGGCGAGAAACAGTCCACGGCTCTGCACGTGGCGGCGCGCAACGGCCACAAGGGCATTGTGAACCTGCTTGTTGACTGCGGCGTCAGCCTGGAGACTAGAAACAAGGACGGCGAGACGCTGCTGCTGGTAGCGGCGAGAAAGGGGGAAGAAAACATGGCGAAGTTCCTACTCTCGAACGGCGCTAACCCAGAGGCCAGAGACAAGCACGGCGGCACTTACGAACCGCTACTGGCACTAGCGCTACAGATACACGAGGGCATAGCGGAGGCGGTGCGAGGTAGGCCATCCTGCGCACTCTCAGCGCCGTAGACTAACGATTCCTGCCGAATAGTGAGGCAGTTGGCCGACCCGAAGGACCGCTGCGCCATCATCCTCCAACTCGACAGCGAATAGACGGGCGGTTCCTACACTGCAGACCGCCGTGTCCGCGCGGCAGACAGGTAGGCCCGTTTCCACCCTGCAGAAGCCTATTGTGCGAACTAAAAACTCGTGAATGACCTTGCAGTAAAATGGGTGGGCTGGTTTACCGCCCTGCAGAGCGCCATCGCGCCTCCTCAATGCTCGTGGCTCACGCTGGGTGTCTGGACAGGCACCTGACGGAGGCCATTTAGTCTCTCTTATCCTCCTCATGATACTGTGCTGAAAACATGATAATCTACTAGAAATATTTGGTCATGCACGCCTCTGGTACTGCCATGCGAAATCGTCTTTTTCGTAGGAATCCCGCACCAAGTGTCAAATACATGGAATACATGGAATACATAGAACGTGGTGAAGGGTACATGGGGAGCCTTCGCCTTAATTTCCTCGATCGTCTTGGCCGTGTCATACAAGCCGCACAAGCCGCGAGATCTGACGCCTCAGCCAGTGGTAGTTTTGTGTGTGAACGCCAAGGCCTGCTCAGCATTCTCTCTCCCATTCGAGCACGTCTTCGTCTCGAGCCCCACGGGGTAGCACAGAAAGCAGCTGGAGCCGATGGCGACTAGGACGGGGCCGGTACGGCGGATAAGGCACGTTAATGGGCTCCCCAGACACCCTTCCGCAACGTGCTTTTCCCGATTACCCACGCTGCCGGCTTGAACCCCGAGCAGATGGAGCAGATGGACAACATTCCATTGTCTAAGCACGTTCTGCCTCGCTCCCTTCGCTCTTCTCCCAAGGAAATACACATACCCAAGCTGAAAAGGAAGGCAAGAATTCATGAAAAGCGAGAGAGGTCAACGAAACCGAGCAAAAGAAAACAACAAAAGATGGGAGAAAAGAAACAAAGACAAAGTAAATGGAGGGAACAGAATTTCAAGACACAAGCTCTCTGTTCTCAAGCATATCCCACGTCGGATTCGGCTTGTCCATATTGCCAATTTGATCCGCGCCGTGCCTCCCACTTTCGGTCTTCTTCGCCACGTATTGACGAGCGAATGGCTCAATTGCAGCTCAACTCAGGTTGGACGTTCCAACCGCCTTGCCGTCCTTTCTGATACTCTCCAAGACCGCCTGGACCCAGGTACGGCAGCGCCAGCTCGGGTCTCCCTGAACGACGGGCGTGTTCTGGAAGATTTCGATGAGCCGTTCTTGGTTTTCGATCTTTGCGATCAGGATGCGGGCGAGGAGGGTGGTGGTGGACTGCACATCGTACACCCAGCCCATGGGGTTGTTTTTCACATGGTAACGCGTGCCCGGAACGCTTTCCCCGTCTTCAACCTTGGGTCCAACCAGGAAGCCCCAGTGGTATCTAGTACATATGAAACCACGTTAGTGACAAATCCGGGCCATGGAGAATAAAAGGAGGAGGGTGGGCCAAATACTTTCGTTCCTCGTTTCCGGTGACCCCACTAGACGACTGGACCCCACAACCGGACGCACCCCACAACCGGACACTTAGCTCCAGACCGCCATTTCGGACATCACCAACTTCAACTTTACACAACTCGTACAATTCTAGGCTAAATTTAGCATGGCTACTATCCGCGAAGAGCTTATTCAATTGGCTATAACGAATATTCAACAGGGTCTTTGTTCCATACGTTCTGCGGCTGAGAAATACAGCGTTCCCTCTTCCACGCTGTCAGACCGACTCCATGGCTCACAACCACAAAGACAAGCCAAAACCCACAATCAACGGCTCAGCCCTGTGCAAGAAGAGTTTGTGGTCGACTGGTGCCTTAATGAAGAAAAGTCTGGAAGGGCTCCTAGCCGTAGCCAGGTCGTAGGTTTCGCGCAGGCCATCTTGGCTGAAGGAGGTGATCGTCAGCCCCTGGGTGCCAGATGGATCGACCGCTTCCTACGCCGCCACAATGCTGTCAAAACTAAGAAATCAGCTTTGTTGGAAAGCTCTCGTACGAAAGACTCTACACGGGAAGCCTACCAAGCTTTCTATAGGAGGCTGGAGTTCCACATCCGCGACAAGAATATCATACCCGCGAATATAGCCAACGTCGACGAGCATGGCATGCAGGAGATGGAAACCACGGCTGGCACGGTTATTGGCAGTTCCCTCACACGTAGAGCTTACACAACTAGCTCTGACACAACGACGTGGGTTACTGTCATTGAGTGTGGTACTGTAGAGGGGGTCCGACTCTCGCCAACTATAGTCTTTACCGGTGCCTCCCTTCAGGGACAATGGTTCCCTCCCAAAGCCGAGCTAGAGGTAGACTTCCTGGACTGGAAGTTTGACTACAGTCTCACAGGCTGGAGCAATAGCCAGATTGCCTTGAAGTGGCTGAAAGAGGTGTATCTACCACAAACTCAGCCTCAAGGTGACGAGTGGAGGTTACTCATCCTCGACGAACACTCTAGCCACACAACCGGTGACTTCATGGCCACAGCTTGGCTAAATAAGGTTCAGCTGGTCTATCTACCTGCTCATACCTCCCACAAGACCCAGCTTCTCGACCGCAGTGTTTTCTCAGCACTGAAAAGCTATTTCCGGCAAGCTACCAAGGCGCTCGCAAGCTTCACGGCATCAGCTGCTATAAACAAGCGACGGTTCCTCCATTGCTATAGAGATACATCCAAGCTTGGAATGTCAGCTAGGAATATTATCTCTGGGTTCAGAAACACCGGTATTTGGCCCCTAGACCCATCCAAAGTGCTGGATGACCCCGAGGCAGTCCTGGAAAGCCAGGCCCTCCCTGTACGGCCGAAAACACCACCCCCTGAGCCTAGGACTGAGTTCTGGACACCTCAAAAGAGCCAGGACATCCGTACGCACCAGCAGGGTGTAAGTGAGGGTATGGAAGCTAGTGGACGGCTGACAAGGACTCTGTTGGCCAAGGCAGGCAAGGCTTTGGATGCTAAGAATGCCGAGATGGCATCTTTGAAGGCCCAGGTCGACCACTTGACGAAGGAATTAGAGTCTCACGAGCCACAGGGCCGTAAGAGGGTCAAAGAGAATGCCAATGATAAATTTACAAGGATAGAGGATATTATCCAGGCGAAGGAGGATTCGATGAAGTCTCCTAAGAAGAAAAAGAAGAAGACACAACAGGACAGTCAAGAAGTCAAGGAAGCCGAAGAAATAATTGTACGTGGCTTAGAGACTATTCGCCAGGTAGAAGAGGAATAGAATCATCAAGTTTGTATGTATATTGCTTAAGAAATGGATGAGGTAGACGCTGTTGAGCCTGGTGGTGATGGTGGCGCCAAGTGTCCGATTGTGGGGTGTGTCCGGTTGTGGGGTCTAGTCGTCTAGGATACAGGGCGATGTACAGCCGCTTCTTGTTTGAAACCATGATGATGGTGGGAAATAAAGAGAAATGCGAGTGGTGTTCAAAGGAACGTTGGAGTCGTGGACGGCTAGTCGTAGCCCGACACACTTTGGTCAAAAAAAGCGAACTCGAAAGGGGAATAAGATGTCAAGAAGAAAAAAAAGAGAAAGAAGAAGCAAAGAAAACCAAGCGAAATAATTTAAATAAAAGAAAACCGAGTCAAATGAAAAGTAGACTTGGGCTTTCGAATGGCTTTCTTTTCATTCCTCTAGTCCAAGGTTTCGGCGGCACCTCCGCTTGGAGTTTGGCTTTTTTGGCCAGAGAGTGCCCGAGTACGGAGGCTTCATTGCGAAACTGGGCAAGAACCCAAATTCCATCATTCGGTTCACGCCCGGGCAATTTTAGCTAGCTAGCATATTTGCATTTCCCCATCCAGTAAATACATTCTGCAACAAAGCGAGTTTTTTTTCGGCCACCGCCACTTCTTCTCCCTTACGCGCTTCCGAGCTCAATCACATCCGTTCAAGCCCGCTTCCAAATTCCAAGCGCGCTCGTCTCTACTTACATCCCCTCCACCAACGTTTCCACGCATTATTCCAGTCGCGCCAACCTCCTAAAGCAAATTTGGTTTCACACAATCATGGCTTTTGAGCTCAGTTCGTCCACCTGGTAGTCGAAGCCGCTGGAGCTGACGGAGCGCGCCTACGACAGCGGCACCACCGAGGGACAGAGGCTCTGTCACAGAGCAGACGCCATGACCGAAACTCGACAACCAGACCCGTGCTGTGGCAATCGCCACTTACATTATTGAGAAGAGCACCTTCAAGAATCTAAAATCACTCCTGTACCGGGTAGGGAGTACCTCGCCGACGCCGATGTGGAGCCTATCTTTGGCAGGAAAAGGGATTAGAAGAAAGTTGCAACCCTCGAGGACTACCTAGTCTTCTTTGGAGGGGGGGAATGTGACGGCGCCTGCCGTCGGAGTGCATGTGGCAGCACCGGTCACTGAGTGCACGCACCACCTGCTCTTGCATTTCGCCTTTGCACCGCGAGAGCTCTTCCAGCTTCTCCTCCTTTCTCCCCATCTTACAATTAGCAGAATTGAGTCATGGCCATGAAACTTTGGGTTTCTGATTGGGAGGTGCGATCGACAAATACAAGACCAATGAAATGTTAGTATCCAAGAAACCAGCTTGCCATAAGCGCAGCGAGAAACGCACCACCGGGCCTGAACGGGTGTCATTGGGCTCAGAAGCGCGCGAGAGAGACCGGGGTAGGTGAAGATGGTGGTTTGTGGAATAAAAAGTAGTTAGGAGTTGTAGAAAAGCGATTGCAAAGTGGGAATATGGAATCGGTGGGTGAGGCTGAAATCTGACGGGCGGGGTGTATCTATTGAAAATCTGGGTTTTCGCCCAGTTTCGCAATGAAGCCTCCGTACCCGAGTCTCAAGCAGGAGAGGATGCGGGGGTGATCCCTGGTTGAATACAGTGAGTGGATGGGGATGGGGTTCACCACGGGTTGAAGAATATTTGCGAAACAGCCTTTCTTATACTCCTTTCTCTTCACCAACATCTTCCACCTTCGTTCCTGCTATCAATCATGGGTGTCAATGTTGGCCCTCGACGGAGACCAGCTCGGCGGCAGATACATAGGTACTGTGTGCAGCGGTGGCAGGTACTGTTGAACAGTTGGTGATTCTGTCTTGGCGGGGTTCAGAGCAAGCCAATGACGGTGTCGGTCGAGTTAGACGTGCATCTTATCGAACCGCTCGGCGCCAGGTTAACGCTTAATACGGCGTGGTCAAAAGCCTCACCGGGCGGTTGCGGCAGGCTCTTGAAACAAGATGCGGCCAACGCTGTGAGCCGCTGGGGTTCCAGTCAGTGCCCGTTGATCATGGTGTGTCTGTCAAGGGCATTTCAACCTCAACTTGATGAGGCTAGAATTGATTATTGCTTCAAACTTCTCCCCACCACCTCTGGCGTATCTTCTCCATCTCTAGCTCTTTGGGATAGGGGTCGAGAAACTTCAAGATCTTGTCTTCCCACCCACGTCGGGTATGGTGACCATACCATGCAGAAGTGTACTCCCAGTAGTGGGGGTACCAGCCAGAAAACTCCCAGTCGACGATGCCAGTGACGCGATCGCCACAGGCCAGGATGTTGCCGGGGTGCAGATCTCCGTGGGTGAAGAAGGGTGGCGGCCATGGCCCGTCTTGCTCAGCTGTCATTTGCCTGATATCCGCCCAATCCTGATCGTCTTTACGAGCTGGGTGGTCTTCCGGCCGAAATCCGTCGCAGAGCCACAAGTGGAACTCGTTGATTGTTTTGAATGGTCCGAACCGGGGCGAGGATTGGGGGAGGCGGCTGTCGCACAAGGAACCGCCCACGCAGCTTTCGATTCCTACGCCGGGAGGTGGTGGGAGCGACCTTAATTCCTGGAAAATTGACTTGAGTTGCGACAAGATGGCAGAGTGTTGGGCATCCGACAGTGATTCCCGGGCCACTTCGAGGGTGACGCCCGGGAGTCGTTCCATAACAATGAAAGCTCTGTTATTGTGGAGGAAAGCGCAGTGCACTCGAGGCCCAGGGATGGAGGTCTTTTCAGCGATAAATTTTAGCGTGGCGGCTTCGGTTAGGTGGGCAAACGGGCCTCTTTTGACAATGAGATGTGGGGAGATAATTGCGCATGGGCATGGGCCTTTGGTGTTGTAGAAGCGCTTTGTGGTTTTCAGAGCCAGAAGTGTCAGGAAGCGGTAGATGAACCGAACATTGACAGCCAGGTTTTCAGTCCCATCGTGTTGGACAGCGTATTTGTCCCTGTTTTTAGGACGGCGTTGTGATTTCATGGTGAAATTATGCGGCGAAGGATGTAAACTGTAAAGTGATGTAAAGGGGCTTGCTTATGAACGAACATGAACAAGGGAGAGAAGGAAGTGAGAAAGTTAGTTGCTACCTACTCAGCTCGAACTTCGCGGTTGGCGGTCGGCGCGATTGGCTGCTGCATCCAACTGAGCGCGAGGCCTGAGCGCCCTGAATAAAGGGGCGCCAGCCCACGTGACCTCAGGGGTGTGAGCCCTGGGGGCTAGGTAGAAAGAAACTTTTGAAAGCATTCAGTGCCAGCTACACAGAATATAATGCCTGTAAGAAGTAAATAATATTATACCCTGCTTAACTCAGTTCTCGTTTCCAACTCTAGCCCTTCACGTGTCCCCTACCATCCCCCAACGCCCAACTCAACCTACTCGCCTCACATCCATGATCCCACTGATCTCTTCCGCCATGCCAGGCCCAACAATCAAGGATAGAACACAGTAAAGTCGTCCACCGGCGCGCCTGCCTGCTTGATGCCACCACCCGGGATATACACACCGCCACCGATCGTAGCCGCGTACGTGCCGTGCCTCGGGACCTTCATCTTCCCGACCTTCTCCCACGTATCCGTCTTCGTATCGTACGCCTCCACCTGATCAAACACACCGTCGCTCCCCTCCGCCGGATTTCCCTCACCGCCAAAGACGTAAACCTTGCCATCCACCGCACCAGCGCACACCCCGCCCCTCGGCGTCGGCATGACGCCCTTCTTCGTCACCCACCCCTCCTCCAACCGCCCAAAATCCAGCGCAAACACATCCCCCCGCACATTGACCGGCCCAACCTCCCTCCCCCCCAGCACATACATCACCCCCTCCACCTCCGCCCCACCGGCATGATCCCTCTTCCCGGCATGACCGCCACCTCCGCCGGCGCCTCCACTACCCACTCCCCCCTCCCCACATCAAACACACTCACCACATCCACACTCTCCTGCACCCCCTGCCCCTCCACCAACGGCAACTGCGTCATCCCCCCGGCAAGATACACCCACCCCCTCTCCTCATCCACCCCAACCGCGGCACTCCCCCTCGCCACCCCGGGCATCGCCGGTAACGCCTCCCAGACATCCCTCTCCGGATCCCAGACCCAGCTGCGCCCCGTGCCGCGCCACACGCCGTCGGCGGCGTCGTCGTCCAGCCCGCCGAGCAGGTAGATGCGTCCGCGGACGACGGCCGCGTTGGGGTGGTTGAGGGCGACGGGCAGGGGGGCCATGGGGTGGGGGTGCCAGGTGTGGGTGTGCGTGTTGTAGAGTTGGAGGAGGGGCGTGGTGGGGAAGAGCGCCGGGTTGGAGGGGCTGGGCACGATGCCGCCGAGGATGGCGAGATGGGTGGTGTTGAGGGCGAGGGTGGTGTCTGAAGGGGGGGGGGGGGTTAGTAATTATCTTGGTACTTAGGGGGGGAGGGGGAGGTTTAATACTTACGCTCTTGGCGCGGGTTGAGAGGGATGGGCGCGAGGGTTTTCCAGTGCGGGCGGTGGGGGCCGCCACAGGGCTTGCCGGAGACGAGGGCGCTTTGGAGGGCGGCCACGAGGCCGATGGCTTGGGTGAACTTCATGGTGGTTGCTAAAAAGTCGAGTGTGGTGTCACTGGTGTGTAAAGACGCTGAGGGCGTGATGTTGTCTGGCTGTTGGTGGCTATATTGGCAAAGGTGGCGCCATGATATAGATTATATACTCGTCATAAACTCATGATAACGTTATCTACCACATTTTCTTGGTGTCACATTTCGCCTAGATCGATCATTTACCGGATTCGATCTCTGTGTATGATCCGAACCCGTGCGAGCCGGTCGGACGATCTCGTTGGTCGTGGACTATAGCACCGCCTTTCTGCTTGTCAGCCTCTGCTCCTCTCTGTTTGGTTTGGTGAGAATTGGCGTTGGCTCGGCGGACAGAATCTCATCCGATCCAGGATTGTTACGCGCGTTCCTTAGTCATTCACAAGAGCTCAGAGAGCGAGCCAGTGGGCGGGCACGGTCGAATTGACCCGAAGGATCGAGCCCCCTGTGATACCCGGGCCCAACTGCCGGCAGCCAAAACGCCGACTTGCCGACATCCGTGGCGCAGCACAGACGTCAAGGAACCACTGTACCACGGCATAGTGGTATCGCATGGCCGGCCGGCGATGGATGCGAGCATCGGATTGGTCCTCATAAAACTTGAATAAGGTAATATCTCCTATCCAACAGCAGCCTGGATATTTCCAAAATTGCAACGCCTCGATAGTTCGTCCGATCCAAAGCGGACCCCCAGATTGACTCGGACTATCGGATTCGGGGGCGTGAAGATCGCCCTTTAGACCAGGGGCACCTTTCCGTTCTTCAGCGCGCCCCCCTTGGCCCGCCCACCGCCCACCGTCGGGTTCCTCGCCAGCTTGTTTTCCCCATTGTTGATCAAAAACGTCGCCAGCAAGATCTCGTCGTCGCTCTTGACCTTGACATCCGGGATGCCGTAAAACCTGGCCTCGATGGCCTCATACCCAATGCTCATCTCAAAATACCCACGGTAGAACAGATCCTGCCACTGCAGCTCGGGATTCTTGCTAATCAGCCACTTGGATAGCGGGTTCGCCAACAACTTGGGCAGGCCGCCGACGGGACTAGAGCTTGTCACTGCGGTGCCCGCCAGTTCGACGCCGAACGCGCCCTCGCCCGTCGTCTCGTCGTAGTCCCTCTTCCCAAGCCAGGCCAGATCCGACACCCACGCGGCGTGCGAATCGCCCGACAGCATCACCGTGTTGTTGATCTTGCCGTCGGCCAGGTGCTGGTACACGCGGTCGCGGTTCGCGAGATAGCCGTCCCACTGGTCGCGGTTGAACGGCTGGTCGCCCAGGATCCCCAGCGTCATCCGGCTGAAGATGACCTGGTTCCCGACCAGACGCCACGCGGCGCCCCGTTCCGACGACTGCGTCAGCTGGTCGTAGAACCACGCCTCCTGCTTGAAGCCCATGATGGTCCGGTTCTGCAGGTCCACCAGCTTCTCCACCTCTTGGCTGTTCCCGCCGATGCCCGCTAGCCCGTTTAGCACCGTCAGGTCACGGTCATACTGGCGCGTATCCAACATGACCAAGTCCAACAGCGTCCCGAGCGAGAAGCTGCGCCAGATGCGCAGGCTGTCGTCCATGTCGGCCTGGCGCAGGGGCATCCACTCGAAGTAGGCGCGGACGGCCGCCTGCTTGCGAGCGCGGAAGACCTCGCCGTCCGAGTTGCTCGAGCCGTTGCGCCAGGCATTGTTGGCGACCTCGTGGTCGTCCCACACGGGGATCCAGGCGAACTTGGCGTGCGACGCGAGCAGGTCGGGGTCGGTGCGGTACGCGCCCAGCCGCGTGCGGTAGTCAAACAGCGTGTAGATCTCGCGGTCCGGCTGCGGGTTGCGGCCCTGGATGGACGAGTCCGGCTTGTACTCGTAGATGTAGTCGCCCAGGTGCAGCACGTAGTCGATCGACTCTTTGCGCACCGGATTGGCGTACGCGTTGAAGTAGCCCTCGGCTATGTCGTGTTAGGGTTGGGTCTATGGGAGGGACTTGGGGAGTGGAAGAGCCTCACGGTAGTTGCTGCAGGAGTAGACGGCGAGGTTGATGTTTCTGTCAACCTTTTGGGTCTTGGAGGGGATGGTCTTGGTCCGGCCGAGCGGGCTGACCTTGTCCGAGTCGCAGACATTGAATTGGTAGTAGTAGGTGGTGAAGGGCTGGAGACCGCTGGCTTCGAACTGTAAAACGTTAGCGGGTTTCGGGTTCATCGAGTGGTTGAGACTCACCTTGACCGTGTAGTCCACGTCGCTGCTCGTGAAAGCTCGCCCCTGGTCCACGACATTGGATAGAGGCAAGTCCGTGGCAATCTTGAACTCGACACAGGCGGCCTTGGCAGACGGCTGAGCTCCCTCCGAGTCACCGTAGATGGGCACCACGCCCCCAGGGACGAGGTCCGAGGCAACACTCTTGGTGGTCGGGGCTAGCCGAGTCCATAGGATGACCGAGTCGGCATAGGGGTCACCGGATGCAACGCCGTGGGTGAAGTTGACTTCTGCGGGCGCGTAGACATCGCTAGTTTGCCGCTTGTTGACATGGGAGAGAGGGACCGCCAGGCTTGGGTGACGCCTCGAGGGGCTGCTGTAAGCAAGATTTTTCTCGAACGATGCCTCGACAAGGGGGGCGGCAACAAGGGCGCCTAGGCCGAGACGGTATAGCATGGCCGAGAACTGAGGTCTGATTTGGACCGTCTAGTTGTAGGAGGTGAGCACCGTGAGCACCAGGAATGCTTGAGTAGCCCCGGCGACTGCCCTGGCCCGTGGTTCCTCTGCCATCTTAAACTATTCCAACATCAGGCCGTCGCTAACCAGACCTCGGGATCCAGATTCCCAGCTTGGCGGCCGCCGGTGTTGCTTGCTGTCGTGTTCCCGGAAGAGTGACATGGGCGAATGCACGTGGGGTTGCTTCAAGCCAATCCCGGGTCGTGGATTCGCAACATGTTTTGCCATCTGCGTCAATCTCGAGCCGGGGCGACCGGGCACATGCAAAGAAGATGCAGGCCCGTAACCTGCGGGCATAGCCGAGTACCACTTAACAAAGTCGGTCTCGGTCAAGGACTGTTTGCGTCATCCAGCCGATGGTTGCCATTGCAGAGAGAGAAACCACAAAAAGTCGGGGATGAGAAATATTCAGGGAAACGACCTGGCACCGAGCGGGGTGGGGGACGAAAATAGTTTTCTCAAATCACCAATGCCAGAGAAAGGATGGCAAGACAAGCGAGACATGCAAAAGGTGAAGCAAAAGTGTGGGCGACCCCGGAATCGAACCGGGGTTTCTTCGGTTTTGCATGTGGAAGAACCACAACGAAACGTCCTGACCACTAGACTAGTCACCCTTTGATGCATATTTGGCCGGATTTGCCACCCAAGAGGTGGCCGGCAGGCAGCGGGGCAATTGATTCGCGTTGCGTTGTCTGGATCTCAGATGTCACGAGAAAAAAAAGAAAAAAAAAAAAAAAAAGATCGATTGCCAGCAACCCTTTGGCTGCCATCATCCTTTTTTAATAACTACTCGTATGTATCACCGCGAAATAAATTGATGAAATCCTCATTGCCCGTACTACACATGTCCGGTCTGCTCGATCACACCCACAGAAACGAACTCCCATCACAACAAACCCCAACCCCCCAAAAACATCGCGTAACCGCAACCGCGAAAAAAAAAAAGAAACACCACCATCACCACTCCCAAACCCACTCCTCCATCTCCCCCCGCCCAGTCGGCAACTCCCCCCCATGACCCGCCCTTACCGGGGAACCAGGCCCAAACCTCACCACCGCCCTCCGAGTCTCATCCCCATCCCCATCACCCCCCTCCCCCTTCCCCTCCCCACGCCCCCACCCCCTCCCCAACGCCACCACCAACACCACCACCATCCTCTCCCCAAACCCGCCCGCCGCCGGACACCTGTGCGGCTTGACCGAGAACGGCACATAGGCCTGGCGCTGGGCGGGCGTCAGGGCGGTGGTGTCGAAGCGCGAGGGGTGGAAGGTGCGCGCGTCGGGACCCCCCCAGATTTGGGGGTGGCGGTGCAGGGTTGTGAGGGAGGCGGATACTGCGGCGGTTGCGGCGGTTGGGGGGGTGGTGGTTGTTGTGGGGGTGGTGGTGGTGAGGGCGGCGCGGTAGAGGTGTTTGTTGGAGGGGTAGAGGCGGAGACCTTCCTGCGAGGGGGGTTAGTACCCAGGGGGGGGAGATGGAGGTAAAGGGATGGGGAGGGGGCGTACCTTGGCGAGCTTGAGGGCTTCCTTCTCGAGGGAGGGGTCACCCAGGCAGCTGGGGACCGTGGCGGTCCGCTGGACGGCGTCCGCGTAGGCGGCCGGCTGGTGGTGGTATGCCGTGACAAAGGTCAGCAGCACCACGCGCCAGAGCGTTTCGTACTGCGGCATGAGGAGGCCCAGGACCTCGGCCGGGGACAGTGCGGTGTGTTCTGCCCCTGGGGAGCGCGACGTGATGTTGAGCGAGGCGATGGTTGAGTTGAGGAGCTCGGACGGCGTGACGTCGGTAGGGTGGCTCTTGGAACGCAGCCACTGGTTGTTGATCTCGGTTGTGATGGTGGCGAGGTCGGATCGGGGGATGGTGGTTACGTCGATGTTGAAGCTGTCGAAAAGGACCACCGCGAGGACCATGCAGCGGACGGATTCAGCGAGACGCAGACTTCGCTTCCCGGCGGCTTCGTGGGTTTCCACCTCGGCCTCGAGGAAGGCTTTGGCGATGCCGTAGAGCTCCTCCCAGTTGCGCCCCCTCCTGTTCAAGACTCCGGACGCCGTCTTGAGGAACGCGCTGTGGACTGACGGGGAGGTGGTTGTCAGGGAATTATCGATGCCGAACGCCATCTTTAGACGGCGGTTCTCGCTGGCACGCAGACGGAGGCGTTCTTGCAAATCGCCTTCAAGGTCGGGGGCATAGTGGAAGTTGGCCACGTCTAACTGCCCACGCACCCATCTCTGGACTCGCCAGGCCCGCCATTTGCGGAAGAGAAAAGCAAGTGCTAGACAGACAGGGGCTGCAAGCGCCAACATAGTGCTGAAAAAGACAGATGATGACATGGCCATTTGACTTGAGCGGATGTCAGGGACAGGCAGGGTCGGTTGCGCTATGGAGGATGGAGAAGTCTGGGGCAATGGTCCCCCTCCGGTGGACTTTATATGCCCAGTATGCCCTCTGCTCAATCTTCATTCTTTGCTCCTTTTCTCTTTCTTCGGGCTTCTGCCTTCTCGAACGAACCATGGGGACAACGACACGCTTCGATGCGGTTCACTGCATTGTAGGCCTCTCCCTTCCGAACTGTTCGCGGTATTGGCCAGGGGCCCATCGTTTTGTTTGCTCTAGTTGGGTTGGTGGTAACTCTGTCGCTCCTATTAGTCGGCCTTTGAGCGAGGTGCAGCATGCCTGTGCTTTCCTTTGGCGAGCTCATCAGCGAGTTGTGAACCCGACATACGTTGAAGATTCTTGGTCTTTTTGGTTAGATATTCACAAAGGCTCGGTTTACCATGTATTTTAGAGCGTGTCAATCATTTCCTGAAGGGCCGGTTCGATTCGATTGCAGTCCGGACAAGGGACCCGAACAAACAGACAGCGCAAGGGTGCTATGCATAAGGACCCCTGGCGGTTCGGAAGCCTGCAGTATCTGACGGGAAGCCAACATGTTGGCCTCGGCGGATCTGACATCTCACCCCAGCTTCTCCCAACTTTGCATACTTTCTAATGTATTTGCGGCCTGATGCAGTCTCCCGAGGGCTGCCCGCCGACGAGGCACTGCCTCGGGAGAACCAAACCATGATGTCAGCGTTGAATTACACTTCTTTGCCAATGATGACTTGGGCTGAGCAAACGCAGGCGAGAACCTATGGAGCCACGACTCAGCCCTCCCACGTCTTATCGGTCCCGTAAGAGCAGGTTTTAGGTGCCAATGATTAATCTCATAAAATGTGATAGGCTTCCTTGTCTGTTTGTTTCAAGGGTGCAGGAGACAGAGTGTTGGGCAATGATGGCAAAGGTAGCATCGAACAACGGTTGGGGGCTAACATTCTGCCTTCTGATTCGTACATCATTGAGCTTCCGGCAAGCTTTGAGGACTTTTCCTTGCTCTTTAACTCCATTGCTTCTTTTAAACTCACAAAACATTCTGATGGGCAGGATCAAATGGGCTTATCTCTTTCTGAACTAACTGCTGGGTATGCACAAGACTGAGTACCTACCTAAGAAGAACACATGGGCCGATACAAAGCGAGCGTACGGGCCGCAACCCCCGCCGCATCCAGAGATGGAGGAACCGCCGTTGCAACCGAAGATACCACATCCTCCGCCGCCGCCGCCACCACCTCCCCCACCACCACCTCCGCCTCCACCTCCGCCTCCGCCATCGCAGTCAAGCCCAAACTCCCGACAGTGACCGCAACCAAACTCGCGGCAGTTATACGTCCCGCATCCGTCCTGGCAGATCGATGTGGGTTTGGCGCTGGCATAGATGAGAATGGGCCCCGTGTCGATCTCCGTCGTTGTAATGGGCGGAAAGGTCATGGTCCTAGAGCCAGAGGTCACTGTCGATGCTGGTAAGGTGGTTGTGGTGGGTTTCTTGGTTAATAGGTAGACGGAGATGGTTGGTTGGGGTTGGATTGTTACGGGGTGGGGAGTGGGGAAGAAGATGGGGGGGATTGTTGACGTTGTGGTGGTGGGAGAGCCTGATGGGAAGACCGGGGTGCCGTTGGAGTACTCGGGGATTGGTGAAGGAGGTGCGGTTGCCACGTTGGAGAGGAGGGTGATCTGGGTCGGGGGTGGCTTGACGCTCTGCACGGGCTTGAAGACGGCGGTGGTTGGATCCCCGACGTTGACTGTCACGGGCCACCAGTCGATGGCTGTTGTGGTGATGGCCGGGATGGAGATGGTGGTGGTGATGGTCTGGGTGTCGCCGCCCGCGGCTGACGACAGCAGCGTCGTGGTCAGCGGCGGCCATGAGATGGTTGTTGTGGAACCAAGCTGCGACGGGGGGAGCACCAGCGTGCACGGTGGGATGCATGAGGCGGTGGCACCGCCGCCCGGGGCCCAGATGCTTGTGGGGACGTAGATGAGGCTGCTGCCGTCTCCTCCTCCATCGCCGGGGCCTCCTCCATTGTCAGGGGCCTCACATATGCAACCATATCCGTGACGAGACTAGCGCACTGCCGGGTTTTGTCCAGACCTGTTGGGCTTCTGATCTGGAAAACAAGGCAAAACTTGCCGTGATGATAGGTTGGCAATCCTACCCGCAATAGTCGTCTTATTTTCGGCTAACCCAGCCCGGTTCTAGTCGGGGAGAGCCAAGATGCGCGAGCCGCCGCGCTGCCCGAATATCGTCGGATACTGGACGCCTTTGCCGCATCGTCAGTCCACCTGGCAGCGCCGCTGACACACCAGGCTTTCCCCAAGACCCGAACTTTCCTGAACTTATGGCCCAACTCAGTCTGGCAGTGTCTCGAGTTGACGTGCTTCCATGTCCCGCCAGGCGCGCTAGAACGTCAACTCTTCGAGCATGCCTTTGGCGCCTTTGAGCGGTTCGTTGTCGCTTTCCCTTGCCCCCACCCACCCACTTGACTTTCTTGATCACCATGCAACGGTCCAACCAACTAACTTCGCTTGGGGTGAGCAACACAGCATGACAGAGCCTTCGGTATTAGCAGGAATCCCGGTCGCGTGCACAGTCGACGCAACAGGGGGCTGGCAGCCTGAGCCAGACGAGAACTCGGGCTGCCAGGTCTTCACGGGGGTCCTGTTCTGGAACAGCCCGGCCGCGAGGGCCGAGTGGTATGAGGAGCTGTTCAGGCTCTCATGCGAGTCGTATGAGTTGTTTGGCCAGAAGCTTGATGCTCTGAAAATCCTGGCCGCAGAGGGCGTCGTGACGCGCTTCCTGGAGCTGCAGAAACAGTGACCGACAGCGAAGCTTCGATCGACTCTCGTGACACGGAGCGACGGGAGGCTTCAGTCTTCACAGCAGGGGACTGGGACGGCATAGCAAATTCAGGCCGCTGACAATAGTGTGGTGTAGAGCTTACGAAACGTAGAGAGTTCTATTACCCTCATCAAATCGATTCATCTACCAGGACGAGAATAAACGGCGTGCCCTACCAGACGGACAAGGGTATCTATCGCGTTGGTTCTCCCGGCCCAGGCTCAGGACCACGCCGTAATTTCGTGGTTGCTTATGTCCGCCACATAAGAGAGCCAAGGTCCGTGGACCAGCCCTGATCTTGTGTACACATACCCTACCGCTGCATAGCCTTTCTAGGACTGACCTTGGTTGGTGTAAAACGCCTTGACCATTTCGGCAGCCCCTTGTTTATTTTCATGTTGGTGGTAAAAGGCGAGTGTTGGTGGAGGGCACAGACGACAACGATGGGCGACTCTTAGATGCATGTATAGAAGTCAGTAAGATTTAAGATTTAGTTCTCAACCACGGCTGGTTTCATCAAAGGTGGTGACTTCCGGGTTGAGTTTCCCCGTCGCTACTCTGTTCCGGGAAGACTTTATCGGCGCCCAAAATACCGACTTTGCACATAGGGACAAGAGGGCCAACTTCATAAGGCGTGCGGGCTGTCTTATGGCCGCCACGGACGCACATGTTGCCCTCGTTTGTGGAAGGCAAACTGAGAAGCTGCCCTTAGCTTACTCCATATACGGCACCGTAAATGCGGAAGGATACGAGACTGGAGACACCAAGGAGCAAGTGATGCACCAAGGAGCAAGTTGGCACGTAGATTGGGAAACGCGCACAGCGAAGAAAAGAGAATATCTCCAGTTCCCGGCACTGGTGCCATTCGAAGATTTCTATTTGACACGCAGCAGCGACATGGTCGCAGCTTCGCGGACCTGGTTCATGGTGCCATCAATTAAAAGGATGCGATGCTAGTGAAGAGTAACTCAGATAAAGCGTCACCGTAACTGCCCCTCATTATTCATATCGTGGCATCCCCAAGACCTCAGAGTAGCTGTCCTCCAAACCCTTCTTAGTAGCCACCACTACCTTGCTAGTAGCCACCCTGGCTGTAGCCGCCGCCACCGCCGCCGCTGTAGCCGCCACCGCCAAAGGCGCGACCACCACCACTGGGACGGGCGTTGGCCATGTTGACTCGGATATTTCTTCCATCCAGACTAAAGCATCGCACCCCAGTCAGCCCCGGTTGACCGAGCCGGCGTGTTGTTATGGGGATGGAGGAAACTTACTCCTGCTGATCCAAACCGGCAATTGCAGCCTCGGCTTCCTCTGTGGTGCTGAAGGTGACGAATCCGAATCCGCGGCTCCGATTAGTGTCGCGGTCTTTCATGACTATCTGGGAGATATCAGTATCCGACGGCTGCTTGATAGGGATCGGTGGAGATCGGTGGAGCAAGTTCAACGCACCGAGTCGACGACCAAGCCATATGCTTCGAAGGCTGTTCTGAGGCTCATGTCGTCGGTACTCCACGAGAGGTTTCTAGTTTCGGCTTCAGCAAATGAATCGGCGATTGGCGTTTGATTAGTCTATCGCAAATCATACCCGACGTAGACTTTGGATCCTGACATGCTGGGCGAAAAGTTGTTGCTGAACTGTACTGAAGTCCTGTTCGTGCGATGAAGTGAGGGGAATGGGAACGTTGGGTTTGAAAGAAAAAATTGGCAAGGCGGGGTACTGGTATTATTTACCGATTACTGCTGCCTGTAGTGTACATACGCTGGCACTCGACATTAAATGCGTGTTTCCTCGCCTGCCGCGTACTGGCAATACTGGCAGTACTGGCGTCCCGCGCCCCTTCCTGATTCGGCCGCGGTCGCATCATGCCCCGTCCCCCACAGTTAACAACGCGAAAATTACGGGCCCTGGCGTTTCAGCAAACCCTGGTTATCCATCGAGGTACTCATCCTCCTGAATCGGCGATCTAGGTACCCGCTGAGGCAACATGGGAAAGCCAGATGAGCATTCAGTTTCGGGTTTCTTTTTATAAAGAATTATTTTTTTGGGGGCAATTTCAGATTATCTGGAAAAACCACATCTGTGTCGTGGCGACAGACCCCTTAGACCTGGCCCCGCGATGGAAAATAGCAAAGATGTCTTACGCCTGGATAAACTTTGTTCCAGGGGTTCTGGTCCGGTAAAACATCGGGGCGGGAAGTTGTTGTGCCAGGGGAGATTGAGGTCGTGGTCAGCACATCCATTCACATGCATCGTCAACAACATCGCAACATCGTCAATTCAAGCTTAAGAATGCAGAGAAAAAAACATTCGAACGAGGGCATCCCAAATAATATAACTAGGGTATCCGTAATCCGATCCAATACCTTAGTTACATCACCCTCCTAAAGACTTCTGTACGACATCTTATGTAGAGCGCCTTCCTCTCCCAAAATTTAGCAGGGCCGCAGGACTTAGTCAATATCAGTCGTAGCGGGTTGGTTTTAGCTCTAGGTCGTTTATCTTGTTGGTATTTGTAATTGCTGTATAGAGTAGAGTTAGAAAAATGTGGTTTGGGGAGAATTGGTAACACTTCGCCTGCGCGAGGAGAAATGTTGTGTGCCTGGAGGAACTCCAGGTTCCTTAGGTCGAAAATGCCATGGCCTGCTCCAAGCACGAACCAGTTTCTTTCCTTTTTCGGACATGTCCCCACTGAAAAACCGGCGTCATTTTGAACCTGTACTGTCGACTTCTCACTGTAGAGTTTTGGTTTTTTCTCCTTTCGATTTCTCTCGATGGCATCTCGATGTCTGGCGTCATCTGCATTCTGCTTCCTTGAATCAGCATCTCGCAGTTGGTCTTGGCGGTGGAGGTGCACGGACTATTTGATGCTTTGACACCTGGCCAATCGGATCGCCGGAGAAAAGCCGCTAACCCGCACTTGGCATCAGGACCCCTGTGTCTCGCTGCTTCGCTCCTGCTTTTGCATGCCTCCGTCGCGCATTCCTTGACAATCACGAACACGAACAAAAAATTCGGATTTCTGTCAAAAAGTGGCGAAAGATGAGGTTTGCAGGGTCAACATCTATTATGGGTTGACTATACTACTAGAGCGACGCACCCGCTTCTTCGTCAGCAGCTTCAGTCTGCGCTGATTCGGCCATGACGTCCCATTCCTGGAACCACGACGACAGAGAACAACGTCAACATTGCCAAGATTGTCAAGATTGCCTGGCTCAGCAGGAAGGATACAAGCAAGGCCTACGGCTCGATGGTCGTCTACCCGACGAAGGGTAGCGAAGCAAATTGCTTCTTTGACGCACAAAATACACGGAACCTATCAGCTCTGTGAGATTACGCCACAGAGGTTAATCTTTACGGGATCTGATTACTGAAGCCCCTAGATGACGATATAGCTTACTGGAGACTCAAGAATGCGGCGTCATACATCGGCGATGAGGTCAAACCGGTGCTAGAGGCCACCTTTTTTACACCACGGTGCTCTAATTTCGCAATCCAAGGAACTCAATACGTTCTTTCCATCCCGATTTTCTGACCTAAACTACAATCATCTCCTGATACTGTTTATAATTCCATTGCAGTCAAGATGGCTTCTTCTTCCGCCTCTGTCGTTTACCCAATACCCCCACTACCAAACAAGCGAGACCACGGCGCGACTGGCGGAGACCTCATCGTCACCTACCACTCCGACTTGGCCCAATGCGAGATCCTGCCAACCGGCTCCCGCTACACAAGCGCGGGAAACTTCAAAGCCGGGACCTTCCTCCCATTCATCCAACCCACCTTCATCCACGACCTCTATCCACGGCTCCTTAGCACCGAAGATGAAGAGAGCTCGGGGCTGCCAGTGATACTCTCCATGTTTAACACAGAACCGAAAGCAACAACACTGGAAGAGGATTGGGAGAAAAAATGGTTCACCATAGCCGCCCGACTTTTCCCGAACAAACTTGCCTTCGAAGGCGTAGCAGTCAACGGATGGGAGACAGACGATCCCCAATCCGTGAAGGTTACCCTCGCAATGCCGCGTGATGGTGGTTTAACCATGCCATCACTATGACTCGCAATGGACGCTGACGCATCCAAGGATTATCCCCCGGCGACTCGCTAACCCCGATGAAACGGTCCCCTGGCCAGGCACATCAGCACGTGTGTCCCTTACCGGCCCCGTCGATCTGGATACATTCCATCTCGTGGACACAGCCTGGCCGGAACCACCCACCAAGGCTGCAGTGTTTGTCAAGCTGGCCTCGTATTTGCAGCCGGAGAACGACTGCCCCCCTCACAAAGGTATCCACGTCTGCCACGTCCTCCTCATCTTCCCCATTGAACAACAACCGTGGAAGTCGTTAGCCGGCTGGATGCGAACAGCTGTCAACCCATTTCCAAGAGGATCCTGGATCGCATGCAACGGTCGCCTCCTAGGAGTTCTAGATCGAAACCTCATCCAAGGCCCTCAGCTCATCGACACAAGCGTTCGCATCCCAGTCATTCTCCCAGACGACTGGGAGTCTATTCGACAAAGCAGCTTAACCGCTCACAACACGACACCCTTACGACTTAGCACAATACCTACAACACCACGCTCAACCGGTCCGCAAGGAATCACGAGCTGGAACCCATTCTCCTCGCCCGTTGGCGGCCAAAACACGTTGACAAATAAACAGAAAAACCCGGCACGGCCCCGGAAGCATCCGGATAATGAGGCAACCGAGCCATCGGCCATCCTTGACGCACCATCGAACTCAACCACAACCAACGCCGAGCCAGTGCTTACAATTCCAAGCTCAGGTATGACTTCCTTCCAGCTCGCTAACTAGGCTAACCACAAAGATACTGGTCACACCAACGACGGTTCAGACACAGAGCAATTGTTGGAAGATCAACTCGCTCCGGTTGACACCACCCCAACAAAAAAGAGAAAAAAGCAAACCTCTCTCGAGTCAATCAGAAGCAAGAGGTCTACAGCGGGAAAACAGAGGGCGCGACTGTCCGATTAGACGCTAGTCTGACTGGAGAAGCCACCTTTCCTTACTTTCCCAGCATTCGTCAATAACCATCATGAAATGGAAAAAAAAGACAATTACATCGTTGACTCCGCTATGAGGCCTACCTGCGGCCGGCAAGTTCCTCCAGGCTCCTTTGGCGTGCCCGCGCGCAGCGGGCACGGTCACTCCTGTAATCATCAAAGTCGTCGGAAATGAAGTTGTCGAGCCGCGACAAAAGTCCGCGCAAACGACGTTATCACTCCATCTTCAGCTGCATCATTCAAATTAAAACGAAAGCCCGCATGGCTCAGTGGTAGAGCGTGTCACTAGTAAATTCTCTATGACAAGGTCACTAGTTCGATTCTGGTTGTGGGCAATAGTAACATTGCACATCTGTTTAATCTTTTTGCCCCTTTCTCCTCTTGTCAACCCCACCACCTCCTCCCAAGAACTCAATTTTTTTCCACCAAATTGTAGCGTACAAACTATACAATAAACAACCCGCCTACCCATGAATGTGACACACCGCACCACAATATCCGAAACCTGAGAACCATCCCCCCACACGCACCTGTGACCGGACCGCCCTAGGTCCCAACCCCTAACTCACACAATCAGGTACCCAGGTACATGTACTTGCCTCACTCCCAACCAACCCGCATCACCCACCACTCACCATGAAACCGCCTCACACCACACCACCACCACCACCACCACCACCACCAACTACTACCACTACTACTACCACCACCACAGCAGCACCAATCCCCGACGCCGTTCTCCGCGCCGTGCACGCCTCCGACCAGGCCATGTACCCCGTAGCGCTGCCCTACGCGCGGCTGCGCGCCTGGGTCGATGCCTGTCCCGACCTGTCGGTGTGCTTCTTCCGTGCGGGCGTGGGCGATGGCGATCAGGGTTCGTCGGCGCTGGGTGGTGGTGGTGGTGGGCCGGTTGGGGGGGCTGGGGCGGTTGGGGCGGCTGCTGTGGAGGGGATGGCGCCCGTGGTGGGGGTGGTTGTTGTGTTACCGTTGCGGAGGAGGTGCTGGGCGGATTTGTTGGGGGGTAGACTGAAGGAGGTGGATGTTGAGCCGGGGAGTGCGTTTGCGGGGGATGGGTCTGGGGAGGAGGAGGTGGGGTTGCATGTTTATCATATTGAGAGGTTTGATGCTGGAGGTGTGGGAGCTGAGAAGAAAAGGTTTTGTGAGCTTGCTTTGGAGGAGGTGATGAGGAGGGCACAGGCTCGGAGGGGCTGGAAAGTGGTGGGGATGTCAGGTGCGTTGGACGGAGCTGGCGAGGGTGATGGCGGCCGTGCTGACATTCATTCATTCACAGCGCTCACTGCGACGCCGGCCGGGAAGAGGGCGTTTGGGAGACTCGGTTTCACGCCGACAGGCTACACGGAGTTGTTTGTCCTGAAGACGTCACAGCAAACATCACAAAGCGACATGGGTAAGGGGCTGTTGGAGATGGTGTGCCTCTACCCAGGCGACGACAGTCAAACTGCCAAGCTACCTGGTGCCGGTGACATTGTCTCGGCGTCTGAGATGACTGTAAATTACAACGTGCTGCCCGGCGCGGCCCGCACTTGACTCAAGCAACCAAGGAACTTGATTCGATCTTGTCAAGTGCCAGCCTCATTCGACTCGCAGGCTGCAGCAAATTTCGTTTCACACAGTTCGGCGAGCTGAGGTCCCCGTTCTCGCAGCTTTCTACGACACACTCGGGAAACAAACGTACAGTTACGTACTCCTCAAGGCCTAAACTAGACTGGGAAGAAACCAAGACAAGCCGCCAAAAAGGATGAGCAGGCCGGGGACAGTGAGCAGAACAGCGGCCAGCAAAAGTGAGGTCCTACCCGGAATCGAACCGGGGTTGCCGGAACATTCTGAGGGGATCAGAATCCGGAGTGATGACCGCTACACTATAGAACCATGACTTCTGTGTTGTGCGGTGCGGTGTGGGAAATCTCTTCAAGCTGTGGGCCGCTGAGCCATGGCAAGTTGGGTGCTCCACTGTAGGGTTTGATCCGACTCCACTCATGAACAGCTTCATCGTCCCCCGTGGCCTACTCGGTAACCTAGCGACTTGGAAAAGCTGCCAGACGAATGTGAAGTTAGGTGATGAGCTGGGCCAAGCTGACGCTCGAACCTCTCAATATGGGGGGAGTGTTCCTATTTGAACAGCAGTCTTTTTCTATTTGGACAGTAAAGGTCCGTGCCCGTACTAAAATTGCATGCGCCCACACCACTGTTGCCACTATTACACACCTAATTACAGTGCAAAGTCCTGGCACATGACATACCTGTCAATTGAAGACAGCAACAACACCAAGACTTCGTCATTCGCGATCGCGAGGTCATTTTCTTCCGTTTTTCCGTAGCGGTGGTGGTGGTGTTGTGGGGGTGACAGGTGGTGGTGAGGTTGGCGGAGGCGGTGATGGTGGGCGCGATGGAGATTTGCGTGGTGGAGAGGACGCGGCTGCGTTGGCTGCTGCTGCTGTCGTTTTGGGTGTCGGCGTTGGTCAGGGTGGATAGAGTGTGATTTTGTATAAAGATATCCTTTCCCAGTGTCTTACACTGTATTTTGGTGTGTGGGTGTGGCAATTGCGATTTTGGGGGTAAATCTAGCTAGTAATGTGGACTTTACTGTCCAAATAGAGAAAAACTCCTGTTCAAATAGGAAGACTCTATGGGGGACTTGAATACGAAGGTACGAATGCAGCGACGGGGTGACTTCCATCACTGCCTTCAAGTAATCAAGTTCTTCGACGGCCTGAAGGGCGAAAGCCTGCGGTGCGAAGATCACCCTAACGACGAAGAACATAGTCTCCTCTTCACGAGCGTCCGTTCTAGAGGTTGGCGTGGGCCGACGCCGACTGTCAAGAGAACGCTGTGGCGTAGCAGATGTAAGCGTACATACAAATCGTTGTTAATGTGGGATAAACGATATGGATCAAATGACTCGGACCAGCACATCGGCGCAGATTCTGGCTCTCCCAGGTGAGAAAGCCAAATGTGCAAGCCTTCTTGTCCACTATGGGCGATGCGAGGTGTCGCCCTGGCGTTCAACTTAGAATTCCAGATTGGCTCAAGGTAAGCGCTGGGTCATCGGGCGGACTCCGGAGCTCGTGGGCCGTGCCCTCCAATCCACATCCTAAACTGCTAAAGTCTGAAGATCAGAAATGACAACATAGATGGTTTGGATGTTGTAATCAATCAGTCCCCCTTTGTCTGAGTCCCAAGTTCTTTATTGGTGAGCCCGTCGTGATGGCGACTTTCGCAAACTAAGTTCCTGTTACTGTTGGGAGGAGCAAATTCTCCGGGCAGGCTCTCTCTCCCATGGAGTCCGAATTCAATTCGGGGTTCCGTTGGTAAAGCCAGAGACATGCAAGTCTCCGATCTCCGGTAGGACCTCAGCTTGAGGTCTAGAAACTCCAAACTTGAGAGGGATCCTTTGCGTCGGTGACATTGTGTGAGTTAGTAAGATTGCGACCATCAGCTAAGGTGTTCTCGACGGTAATACCCGCATGTCTGTAAACAGAACAGGTCTAACATTACCCAATTTTGACAGTCAGGCATGTCGTGTAGCTGTGACAATGGAAAAGCAAGCAAGGAATTACCCGATGCAGTGATTCCACGTAATCACACTGCATGGCAGAGGGTGAAGGAATCCGGCCGATTTGGCGAACCGAGGACCGACCTGTTGCCACTGCGATTGGTGCATAAGTGAAATAGGCGGCGCCCTAGCTCCTGCAAGCTGCGAGGTCCCGTCCTGTTTATTGTCGATTTGTGATCGGGTTGGAGACGACCCGATCAAATTTGATGCGGATTCCCGAAGATGTGAGAAGGTCGCACTTTCCTGTCAACAAATTGGCTCTGTTGTAAGACAACGGAGATACTCAGCTGGTCTGAGGTTGTCCGAATTTAGTTTCTGGCCTGCATCCGGAGTTAGTTGGGGAGGCCGCGGGAGTTGAGTCTGCGGCCTGTTCTAGGCGGCGGCGAGTTGTGGCTGAGACGTTGAGGCCGGCAGGCGCAACTTCATGTTACCAGCGCAGCGTCCAACCACCATCTAAATCCCGTCCACATTAAACCACACGACACGCCAAAATAGGGTAAATTATCTCTACCTGTCTGAGCTCGCAGTTGTAGAGTACGGTGAGAATCAGCTGATTGCACGCCATCTTTTGGAAAAGAGGTTCAGTCGGAACTACTGCGAATCAGTGCGATTACTAGTTGTGGCAGAAACGCTTGTTCAGCTTTTGATGATCATCAACATGACCAGATGCAGTTTTACCACACCTTTGCTCATCTGCAGTGTCACAAGCGGCCCGAAACAGCGAAAACGCTACATGGATGCCCGGTCACTCTGAAGACCTGGAACCCAGCAACATGGATTCCTGCGACCAAGCTCCGCTGGGCATGGTCTTGGACCTAATCTAAGCATGTAGGTCTGAGAGCTTACTTGTGTCACACATATTGTCCGGAACTCCAAAAGCGGAAACAGGCCTGTCGATGAGTGGTGATGACCAGCACACCAACCAAAGGATCGTGAGGAGCCGTCCTAACTCAGACAACCGGAGGCAGATCGCAAAGGTCAATAGTGGATGGCCCGAAGAAAACCTTGACTTGACGGAGATGTGTATATAACAAGCCCTTCCTCCCCTTCATTGCCACCCAAATTTCTCTCATCAGCAACAGCTTCAACTCAGCCCTTCTACACTTCAACCCCTTCAAACAAACAACATCACCCGCTTTTTCCAAAGCACCGCCAACACAACCATCAAAATGCAGTTCACCAGCCTCTTCACCATCCTGGCCGTTGCCATGACCGCCTCCGCCCTCCCCTCCGAGGTCGCTCCCCGCCTCGGCGGCATCACCTCCTGCTCCAGCCAGTCGGCCAACGTCTGCTGCGATGGCCTCGCCGCCTGCCTGGTTACCGCTCTCGGCGAGAGCTGCGAGGGTTCCTCCTACTGCTGCGAGACCAACGCCGTGCAGGTAAGCCACTCCGCACTTCATCCTAGCCCCAACCCTCCCCCTTATATCCCCCGCTGGAACTAACACACCTCCCCCCTCTCTCCACAGGGCGGTCTCGTCAACGTCAACGCCCTCAACTGTGTTGAGCTTCTCTAAGCGGTTTCACCCGCTCCCCACCCCACACTCCCCGGCCCACACCAACCAGACCACCGAGGTTCACAACAACGCCCAGGGAAAAGAACAAAAAAAAAAAACACGGCGGGATGGCGCGCGCCTGGAACAGAGACGGATCAGCACACGAGATCCAATCCAGCCCCACACACCGCCGCGGCGCGCGCCGCCCCGTCCCCAAACGAACACGGGGGCTTGTCAGGAAGGAAAAGACCGGGGGGGCACCTCAAAAAACAAAAGGCCAAGGCAAGGGTGTACATAGCCCGGAGGGGCAACAACCTTGTTTTCTCTCTCTCTCTCCCTCTCCTTTGGGTCGTCTTTTCAACGCTGGGCGCAGCGCCTCCTCCCTAGGTACGGCGGGGCGTCGAAGGAGATAATGCTCGGGATTTTTCCTTTTTCCTTTTCTCGCAACTCTGGTTTTGTCTCTCAGGCCTGGGGGGCTCAACTAGCCACGCTCGTTCACGAAGATAGGTACAGGTAGTACATTCTGGGTAATTTAATAATTTGTGCCGGCCATCTGCTTGGTTCTCATTGCGGTTGCTATTGTGAAGTGTTCGTGTTTTGAGGACGGGTATAAACCCACCTAGTTAGCATCTTGCAAGCGGCACTCCAAATTTATTTTGGACACCACTAAGATCAAGCCTCTTGATGAACCAACACCGGGAACCAAGATTAAGCAGCTCATCATAATGTGCTGGCACAGAGTTCAAACGTAAGATGTTTGCTAATTCATGGTGAGCTTGTTGTAATACAAATTGCCAAGAGCTGGGAGTGCAAGAGAGCTCCAATGTGACTGCAGTCGTCTCCGATGTAACAAACAAAGGGCAAGCAAAAAAGCTTGAGGCAAGATTGAATGGAAAAAATGCAACGTGTATTGTGACAAATGCAGGAAGCTCTCGCCATATTGGCTTGCTAACTCGGATATCACTTGGCCCATCTCGTGGCTCGCAGCAGCACAAGCACCGGGTTGCACCAACCCCGGCACCATCCAGGGCACCATTCCAAAAATCTCCAAATGCGCCTTGCTCAGAAATCCGGCGTTCCAAAATTGGTGCTGTCGGTGCCACTGCTTCATGTTAGGCCTGTACGTCACTGATGACGTCGTTCTGGAGAACGGGGTCGGCGGGTTTGTCGACGGTGTCGGCGGTGTCGACCGCCTGGCCATTGCAGAAGAAACCATTCTCAGCCATCCAAGTTGCGGTCCACCACGGCCGGTGCTGAAAGGTTGCAATCTCCAGCTGCTTCGCAATCCCTTGTTTGTTCTTAACCCTCTGTTGGGTCTCTGGCGAGGTGGTGGCATAAAGAGAGCCGACAATCCGGTGGTATGCCTCTCGAGCCGGGCCCATCTCTCCCACACGCCGCAACTTATCAGCCGTGATAAACTCATCATTGGGCGGGATGCCTCGAGCGAGCTGAACCAGGGGCGTTGGCCTCCAGTCCCTGTCGGAGAGCCACGCTGGTCTCGCATCGTAGGTTTCGTACGCGGGGATGACGCTCACAGACTCCCAGTCGACGACGGCAGTGAGCTTGAACGTAACAGGGTCGAGGAGGAGATTGTGCTCTGAAAGATCGTCATGCCAAAGGATACCAACATCTTCGGGTCCGTTATCGTGCGGGACGAGGCGCGGTACCAAGGCCTTGAGCTGCTCAAAAAGCTCGTACACACGGTCCTTGTTTTTGTCTAATTCCCGGTCATTCTCGCAGTACCAGGCCGCCCCTTCAACGGGAGATAGCTCCCGAAGTCGTCTTTCGAGCAGTTCCAACCGCATATCAACCAATTCCCGGGTTGTTTCGAATGGCCCACGGGAGCCAGGGTAGTACACTCGCTTGTCGAAGAAGAAGTCTTGGGCGACGATGCGGCCAAGAACAAAACGGCCGCCAGGGCCGATGTCTTTATCCACAACCTCGTCGTCATTACCTTCCTTGACTGGGGACGAGACATTGCGAGGAAGAACTTGGTCGGAAACGTCAGCAAAGTAAAGACTGCCAAACTTGCTGAATCGCAGCGCAACCAGCTGTTTGACATGGACTGCAAGTTCGGCAAACACCTTAACTCTGGCAGCATCGGGCATGGCACCCCACAATGTACGCAGGGGCTCGCCGGGCATCATCTCCATCAAGACCCATTCGTATCCGAGCTCGTTGGCGTCGCTCGAGGAGAAGGCAATCACCCGGGGAATGGGCATCGTAGTGTGCTGCCGGACATATTCCATTGTCGCAATCTCGCTCTCGGTCTTGAAGAAGGGCTCGACAGGAATAGAGACTCGAAAGATGTAGGATTTCTCCCAACTGGCGTGGGTGAGGCTGTACAGACGATTGAAGGTCCCTTTGGCGAAGTATTGGATCTCGGCGTTTGCAAACTCGGGGAATTGGTGCGTCAGAACTTGGCGGATGTTGCTGACCCAAACATCGTGATCGTGGTCGTCGGGCCAGTACCGCTCAAGATATCCTTCATCTTCATGGCTCCTCCAGTATCGGTGGAGGTCATCGGCGGGCGGGTAAGACTCGTGAGTCTGGGAAACACGAATTGGGAAATCGAGGTCGATAGATGCTAAACCCATTGTATCAATAGGCGCCTGCCGATGATTAACTAGAACACCCTAATCTGTGCCGAGGAGAGTTTCCAAGCTTTCGTGGGAGAAGGAAGTGGGAAGGAGGGACAGGGTTGGTGAAGTTGTGGATTACGGCTGCCAACCTTTCAAATTCAGCGCGGCGCAATCTAGGAAGGTTGAGTGCTGCACGCCAGTAGCTCTTATACTCCAGAACGTGCCTTCCTCACCTTGTGCAAGGGCGACATCCGACGATAAGAATTGCCCGAGTTCTCCCGTCCGATTTCCGGCGCTGTTGGTCACTCTTCAGGGAGCAGTGAAGATGCTGAACTTGGGAGCTAAAAAGCAACCACCCGTCTTTATCATGGCACAGTCACAGGAAACCAGAGTAACAATGTCTGACATCGTCAGGTGTGATACAAGCAGGAGTTTGGTGTTTGAAGCTTGCAATCCCCATACCATAACCTGCAGCTTGGGCACGCCTTGGTTCTTGTGCCAATTCAGTATTGTCACCCTGTATCTCCATATCGACAAACCAACAGATCCCAAGGTATCCATGGTTGTACTTTGGTGCTGCTGGCACTGGCTAATTTGCTAGGTTTGGGTACCACCAATCACTCAGAGAGGTGCCCTTCACAACCTCTTGCTCCTGCATTGCTGGCTCAAGAAAGGTCACGCCTCTGGACAACCACGTTGTTTGAAACAGTTCCGGAACACTGAAGATTGTAGATAACCCATGCGGCAGAAAGCCACATGAAATGTGGAATCACAAGCGAGGTGGGTGTCAGAAAGTGTAGAAAAAAAAAGGTGGTGTTGATGGCTGCTAAGTGCTTTGTGAGAGTGACTAGACCCAGGGGATCATGCTCTCCAACGAGGAAATGTGGAATGCCATCAATGGACTGGCTGTGGATCCCAACCCACCCAAAGGCCCGCGCCAGTCTTGATATTTATTGGACTTGGCGATGCGCAACATTCAGTATAAATCATCAGGAGTACCCTAAAGAGACAGTGGACCACTTCCTATTCCGATGCACAAAATGGACAGCGTACCGAACAGAGATGCTCAAATGTACAGACACTCAGAGAAGCAATATTTCCTTCTATCTGGGAGGGAAATCGCCGTTGGACAAGAACGACTGGACTCCTAACATGGCAGCTGTTCGCGCAACCATACATTTTGCAATGGCGACGGGCCGACTCGACACGAACGGACCACAGGCCGACTAAACCACCTAACCCACCACACCCGATAGCACCGATACCCTCACCTCGTGACGCAAATAACAGGCATCGCTTCAGCCGCCGAAGATAGGACGCTGAACACTTGGAGAATCGCCTTCAAGCCAGCCTACTAACAACCCTACTCACCCACGAGAATCCGCAGAGAAATGGAAATCAGAACGGATTGTATGAACTAGAATGAACTTTACGGGCTTCAAGGAGACCCGGACATATCTTGGGAAATGTATAATCAGACTGTAATAGCTGCCCTCTCGGTTGACCCGCCGGGCGTTAATAAAACTACCTACCTACCATCAGGAGTACCTCCACTAGAGAGAATCGCAAATCGATGAGACGTCCGAGCAACAGTGAGCTCAAGGTGCTCCACAAGGGGCATCATTTGGCTGACTTGGGTTTGTTCAAGGTGAGATGAATTTAGTGACAGTTCTCTATTAAATTACAGTCTATCCCATCACTAGGTCTATGCTATTTTCCCCAAGCCCCATGTCATGCATTGTAATATCCAACGTCTTTCGAGTTTAATCAAGACCTCCCGAGAAGCCCATTCGATGTGGTAGCCTTGGTAGCGATCGCTATGAAACCACCGACTAGGCAGATGACGCCGCTAAAGATGGTCACCTCCAAATATCCACCATACTTTTCCAGCAACACCCCGTTTACCGGGGGGCCGACCAAGGTCGCAGTCGCTGCAATCGCCATCCCCATCCCCATGTAAGTGCCGAGGTTGCGGGGATCATCTGTGCAGATGGAGAGAGCCGCCATCGAGCCGGAAATGATGGTGCCGGACGAGAAGCCGAATGCGATGGCATAGACCACCAAGCCTGCGACGCTCGTGGCGGTGTTCATGCACAAGACGATAACAGCCGTAAGGATGCCGCCGATACCGAAGATTGTGAGCTTTCCAAATTTGTCGGCGAGGATACCGGGGATGATCCGCCCAAACGTGGACGCACCGTTGACAATGGCTAGCAGGTAGGAGGAAAACGTGGGCGAGATGCCTCTCGAGATGGCGTAAGATGGGAGGAAGAACAGTGGCGTAAACATGCCGATGAAACAACACCACCCGGCGGCGATAACGAGCAAGAACCGGAGTTGCTTGAAAGCCTCGGGCAAGAAAAAGTTCGTCTTCCGCGGCGGGAACCTTGCGGTGATGGCGAAACATGAGAATCCCAACAACGGCGTGATCACAAAGGCCATGATCCTAACCGACCACCCGAAGCTAAGCGTCGAGTCGTTCAGCATTTTGGACAGGGCAATCGGAAAGACAATACCGCCGATCGAGCTGCCTGAAACCACCAAACCGATCGCGGCGGCCCTCTTCTTGTCAAAGTACTGCGACACCGCCGCGAAGGCCGGCACCTGCATGACGCTCATAGCCAGGCCCGTCAGCACGCCCTGCGCGAGCATGAACTGCCAATATTCCTTGCAGATGCTAGTCATCATGAGGGCAAAGACGTAGAGCACGGCACCGGGGCGGATGACCCAGGCACCGTAGCGGTCGAAGAGCGGTCCCGCGACGAGGCCCCCGGCGAACTGAATGAAGGACATGAGTGAGCCGATCCAGGCGACGTTGTCGGGCGGTTGGTCGCGCAGTTGGTGCGCCATGTAGTAGGCCTGGAACACGCCGAACGAGTTCATGAAGCCTAGGCATGAGAAGAAGATGCATGCCGCGCCGGCAAGGACGAGCCAAGCGCGGGCACCGCCGTCCGGGGCGGGAGGGAAGGCACCCGGCCCGGGCTCGGGGAGGGCCGCCTTGGCGGATTCTGTGTCGGTTGTGGTGTCTTGCGGGTTCGGGTTCTTTTTCTCGTCATCCTGAGGTTGGAGGGTAGGAGACCCATGTGGGCTTTCTGTCGCGCCCATGGTGTTTTAATGTGATAAAAATATGAGATGATCGGCAAACACTGAAGTATCGGAGGTTTGGGAATCTAGGATGGTCTGGGGAACCTGGGAGCTGCAATCCCTGGGATGAATGAAGTAGGTATCAATGAAATTCCAAGAATAACGCCCCCGATTCACACCGTCTCAGGTCGAAGAAGGCTTGACCAAAGTCACCTAGCGTCAGTGCGGGCAGTGATGATCGATAAGATCTGATTAGCTGACTTATAAACGAGGCGCAACAATGTTTGACTTGTGAGGAACACACGACTAATATACTGTGTTCTGCGCTTGCATTCCGGAGCTAACACGGTGATCCGACTCCCAAGTCCGAGACTGCAAGGGCAGGGTCGCTTCCGATTGCGTATTGTCCCAACCGCTGTGTTGTTGATGCGAGTTGCCTCATCTCACTCTTCCGGGGGACGGACTCGGTTTTCGGACTCGGTGTTTTGTGGGGTGGATGGTAGGGCTGGCCAACCAGGAGGAAGGATATGGGGCATCTTGTCTCCATTTCAATCACGAACACGCTGACCTGATCCTTCAGATCCACAAAATGCCGATTGTTGCTTTCGCAAAACACACAAAAGCCGTCCACCCCCCTCTGTCTCCGAAGCATTTCCCGAAATTTGAAAACGTCTCGACAAGGTTGGGCACAGCGTGAGTAATCTGAAAAGTCAGGAGCGGTCGGGGATTTCGCGTGATGGAGCCACAGAGACGCCGAAGAAGGCCTGCAGTGTAAGTTCCCCCCCGGACATAACTGAGGCACCTAAGAACGGGCATTTCAGATTGGGTGGACCCTCGGCGAACCCTTTTTGTGTCTCCGGTCACTTCTAATACCTCTTCACCATACACACTGACTGCTGTGGTTGTGTGGGCCTTCGTTATTCGGTACGATTGTTCAACCGGGCTAACAAATCAACAGCTCCTGCATCCTCTGCCGAAGGCGCAAAATCCGATGCGACCGGCAAACGCCGTGTAGCAACTGCACCAAGTCCAAGAATGCTACCTGCATCTATAGAGATGATCCGCGGGCTCCACGGAGGCAAAATCCCTTAGAGACGGCACAGCCAAACAGACCCGAAGTTGTGCCAAGTCGGACCCCCTTAACACCGAGCACTGGAGGCTTCTCCGGAGAGCAGGACCATGTTGAACCGCTGAATTCCGAGCCATCTCGGCCGACAAGGACTGACGCCGTCACGTCACCTAGGAGATACACTATCTGTAAACGGGCTTATGGAATCCGCCAGGCCGCAAAAGAGAGGGCAGCAGCGGAGCAGGCCGCGTCGGCAGCCACAAGCAGCCCCTCGGCCAACACGCCGGTCTCGACCTATCACAAGAATTCCTTGGTTGAGACCAAGACGATAAACTTTGCTGGCAACTTTTACTTCCACAGCGAACACCGTCTCGCCGGCCATCCCAAGGCTGTCACGAGGAGTGTCACGCACAAGACACGGTACTTTGGGCAGAGCCATTGGGTCAATGCTGTGGGCCAGGTAGGAAAACTCTCCGCCCCTTGGTGATCGGCCAAATGCTGACTCCTCCCAGCTCAATGATATGTTTGATGTCATCGAGTGCCATCTACGTGACGACAGCGCGTCAAAGGCACTAGAAATCGAGAAACGATGCAAGGCTTTAGGCAGACTCATCAAATCCCGCCGGGCACCCCCTTGGCCTTGTCCACCCTCGCCCAACTTGCCCTCCAGAGCCATCTCCGATGCTCTGGTCGAGTGCTATCTCAACTCTAGCGAAGCGGTTCTCCGAGTCCTACATATCCCCAGTTTCCGACGCGACTATGAAGCCGTCTGGGACCCCAACAACAGCAACCCCGACCCTGCTTTCCTTGTTCAGCTCAAATTAGTCCTGGCCATCGGCGCCACGACCTTCGACTCCACCTTCTCTTTACGCCCATGCGCCATGAAATGGACATACGAAGGACAGACATGGCTGTCGGCGCCCGAGTTCAAGTCCCGATTGGGCCTCCCGGCTTTGCAGAGCAGCATCCTACTTCTGCTCGCCCGCGAGGCAACAGGCGTGGGTGAAGACATGGTCTGGGCTACGATCGGAACCACACTCCGTATAGCGATGTATATGGGCCTGCATCGTGACCCTGAGGGTTTGGGCCCAAAGTCAACCACGCCGCTGGTCGCCGAGATGCGCCGCCGTTTGTGGAACACGATCCTTGAGCTCACGCTACAATCAAGCCTGAACTCTGGCGGGCCACCGCTCATTAACATAGAGGATTTCGACACGGACCCGCCGGGGAATTTTGACGACGACCAGCTCATTAACCACGGAAGTGAAGTACCCGTCCCCAAGCCATACGGCCAGTTTACCCAGTCCACCATGGCCATCACTCTCCGCAACTTGTTCCCTCAACGGCTCGCCATCGTCAAAAGCCTCAACGACCTCTCCTCCACGGGTGCCTACCCGGATGCGCTCAAGCTCGATGCCGATCTTCGCGAAGGATACAAAACCCTCACGCGGACTCTCCAGGCGTGCAAAACATCCACAAGAGGCCCGTCCGACCTCGAGCTCCGCGTCGTCGACCTCCTTCTGCGCCGTTACTTCCTTGCCCTCCATATTCCCTTCTTCGCCTGCGGCCTCCAGGAAACCACATTTGCCTTCTCCCGCCGCGTGGTCGTCGAGTCCGCGCTGCGCCTCTGGCGCGCCGTCTTCCCAGTCCCCCTGTCGCTAGACGACGACGCCAAGGCCGAGTGGGATCCCCTCCAGCGCATCGCCGTTAGTGGGTCGGGCTTCTTCCGCATCGTGGCCATACAGGGTTTCGTGGCCATCGCCATCGAGCTGAAGACGCTCCTGAAGGAGGAGGAGAGCTTTGGCCTCGGGCCCGTCGAGCTCAGGCCGGACCTGCTGGCGGCGCTGCAGGACTACAAGGTGTGGTCCTGGTGGAGCATGGAAACGGGCGAGACCAATACCAAGGGGTATCTGGTTGCATGCATGATCTACGCACAGGTGGATGCCATGAGGAGGGGCCTGAGCCACGAAGACACCGTGGCCTACGTGGTCAAATCCGCTGAGGATGCCGAGGAGAAGTGCCTTGCGTTGTTTGAGCAGCTCGAGGCTAGCACTCGTGAGACTCAAGAGGCGGTAAACTCTGCGATTGATGAGGCCGTGGGTGGGGCTCTGGATTTATCGCCAGATTTTGGGGTAGAGGGTTGGGACTACATGGTGAGCGATGTTGGGACTGGGGGGGGTGGGTGAAGACGCGTTGCTGATCTTATTACAGGTACCCGAAGCTCTGTATGATCCGGCCAGCCAGGATCCCATAAACTGGGTGTTCCAGTACGGTCTTGCTTGATCGATCGTGTTAGACTTCGATCGAAACGTCTACTAGTAGTGCTGCTATGACCCAGCTCGGCCCCCACTCAACCAACTATCATCGCCTTTGCCGAGCAGACGTCGCCATGTACAACGTCTCGGCCGATGGCCAGCCACGAACGCCACACCCTTCTTGTCGCCCCACTCGGGCAATTTCGAGTGCCTATGTTGAGAATGCCACCAGTCGGTCCGGAAATTTGGCATGACAATATCGCCACACCTCCTTTCAGCGGAACTGCTACCCTATCAATGCCTAGCGTTATGTCTTGGTACCAGGCGGTGTAGTACGACGGGACATGATTGTTCTATCTGGCCCGCTTCGGTTATCATGCGCCGTAGTTTCCCGCCGGCTTTACCCGATACCGTCGCACATCAGCGAGGCTGAGCATCCAGCTCACGCACCTTTCTGGATCAAAAAGCAAGGCCCTTATCAGAGAGTCTGCATTATTCAGACATGATCGCTCAAGTGATATTAATACACCCAACCTTTTTGGCTAAAATAAGCTGCTTCTTGGCCAGGGATCGTCTTGTGGATGACGCAAGTGGTTTGAAAGAATTGGAACCCAGTGACGTTCTTCTTGACGACTCTCAACCCAAGCCTCAAAAGTTCACAACACTGATTAAACCACCGTCGGATGTTGTCTATCCGCATGTATGTTTGCGTGTACACGTACGTACACAAAAAAGGCCAACGTTGCTGGTTGGGCAGCATTTCTAGCGCCACTACTGCCCAACAGAGCCGACCCCTCCCTCGTTGTCACCACACAAAACGCGGGCGCTTCTTTGTTAAATTGGAATCGTTTCCGGTCCCCAAAGCCTTTACCCCCAATTTCAAGATCCAGATCACATTCAAGATACAGATTTTATATACGAGCCGCATCTTCAATTTATTCCCAACTTGACTCTCTACACCCCGTCACCATCAACTGAGCACATCGATGACCATGCTCTCGTTCAGCACCGGCACCCATCCGGGAATCCAACCCCACTCCCACCGCGACCATGACCTGACCCTCCACCACGACCCCTTCCAAACGCTCTACGACTCCCTCGCCAACCTCACCCTAAACATCACCACATCCCCCGCAGCAGCACCCGACGACAACAACCACTACACACACCAAACCACAACCACAGCAGCCCACCAACCCCCCACTTCGGCATTGGCATTGGCCTCTCACCACAGCCCCCAACAATCCCCCATCATCCCCCGCCACCACCCTCCCCCTCCTCCCCATCACCCCGCTCTTCCCCCCCGGCCCCAACGTCATCTTCGCCCACTCCTCCTTCTTCTCCCGCTTCACCCCGGCCGGCACCTACCCGGAGCTGCCCACCCCCGCGCGCGTGCGCGAGCAAGCCCTCCGCCTGGGCCTCGTCTCCGCCGAAGGACAGGACGATTCGCAGGCGGGCGCAAAGCTGGTGCCCTTTCCCGAGCTGGGGTTGTTGGTCAAGTACGGCCCGGAGCGGGTCGCGGGGGGTGGATACCCGGCGTATGTGGGGGGCCGGGTTGGGGTGGCGGCAGCGGAGGGGAAGGCGATGAGTTTGGCGCGGCGGACGTTGTTGGATTTGGGCGTGCCGGCGGGGAGGGTGCCCGTGCCGGAGGTGTTTGGGTGGCGGCGGGATGTGGAGACCGGGGAACGGTTTGTGTATATGGATTTGCCGGAGGGGGAGGTGTTGGAGGATAGGTGGGCGGGCTTGAGTGAGGTCGAGAGGGAGGGGGTGTGTACCCAGTTGAGGGAGGTGGTCGGGGAGTGGAGGCGGTTGAGGTTGGGGGGGGTGGGGTTTGTTGGTGAGTTTGCTGCTTCTTCCTCGTCTTGTGGCTTGTTTTATGTGTGGTTTGCGGTGTGGATGCTGACTTGATGGCGTAGGGAGCGTTGATAATGGGCCGTTGCAGGATGAGGTCTTTCATCGCTGCGCGTTGGCTGGTGCTCCGCCTGCTGGTCCGTTCCCGACGGCCACGGCATTCCACGACTATTTTGTCGCGATGGCGGTCACCGTGTCCCGGAACCGACATGCAGGCGCCGGGGATGGGCAGCTCCGCTACACGCCGCACCATCTGTTCCCAGACAATGTCCCTGTCGTGTTCACGCACGGGAGCCTGCACCCACGAAACATCATCATCTCGGCCGGGCCAAAACCGCGGGTGGTGTCGATCCTCGGCTGGGAACAGGCTGGGTGGTACCCCGCGTACTGGGAGCTGTGCAAGGCTCGTGCGGAGTGCTCACGGCGGGGGAGGCTCGGGGGTTGGGAGAGCAAGTATCTGTCGTGGATTCTGGACACTGATGCGCTGAACAGCGAGATGGGTGGCTGGAACGTCACTGCGCTGTGCCAGTACTGGGATTATTTCGTTGGCTTGATGTAATTATCGGCTGGAATGTACATATCTGGGAGCCGAAATGCTCACCTACCTTTCAGTCTGGTGACTGGATTCTGGCGCGAGTGTCAAAATACAATAAATTCAACATACCTAGTGACGGTGCCGGCCGCCGAGATGGGTGTTCGAAGTCCCGTTGCCGCGTTGACGACAACCAAAGGTCCCTTCTAGCATGTAAATAAAGAGGTCCTCCAATGCGCTAAGAGGGTCTAACCACCCCCCTGGGTGGTCCCAAAGCAATATTGCGGCTAGCCGACCCAAAATACGTACGGACGGGGTTAGACAACGCAACATCTCACAACCTACCTCTACGGAGGAGAGCATTTCGGACAACTCTTAGTACTGTGTATTGTTCGAGCTTGTAACCATTGCTATGGGCGTATGGTCTAGTGGTATGATTTCTGTTTTGCAAGGAAATTTCTTGAATACAGACGGTCCCGCGTTCGATCCGCGGTACGTCCATTATCTTTTGCACCACTATTCTTTTTTCTTTTTTCTTTTAGATCTTGCTTGCAAAGCAAACGTAGCTGTGTTTAACATCATTTGAATGAGAACAAATAAATACTAAAAATGCTAGTTATGACAGTTTGGGGCACCGCCGCACAACCGCATGCGCCCTCACATTGAGCCACCGGAAGCTAGAGGATATGATAACAGAGTACGAAGTAAAAATCATGGCATCGGCCCTCAAACTTATCATTTCTTGGCAGAATTGTCACGGAAATAGGTGGTTTCAGACTTCTCAGCCTCAGTATTAGATACTTATTAGTAAAGATTCGTTAACACAAGGAAGGCTAGCCGGCAGTTGAGATTTGGTGGAGAATTCTATCTGTCGCCTCCACTTGCCACGTTCGGTACTCTTTTTTATCAAGAATGGAACAGGGCTCGAGATCCAGGTCGGCGTTACGCTCAGCTCCTTCGGGCCATTCCTCCTGAGCCATGTTTCGAATAAATCACGACGAGGTGGCATCCCCTGGTTCTGGGAATGTTCAGTGATCGCGCCAGTGGGGCCACAATGCTACCAAGTTAGAAGCGTTCCAGTAAGAGAAAAGAAGCTTACCGGGCTGGCTGTTCAGGCCAGGGCCTCCCAGGGGGGAGACAACATGGCATCGTATTTGCAGATCTGACGATCGAAACGGGAATCATATTGACAGTTGGCAGACCGTTGTCGTCGTTTTCACACCAAACGACCAACTCGGGCACTTCAAGAGCCTGTCAACCATGATGTTCCATGTTCTATGGCAGTCAGAGCGTGACAAATTACCATATGCCGTCGCTATCCAGATGATTGCAGCATCAGTATCTCTCCCCATGGTTCATTTCTTTTGCATACAATGTGCCCTGCTGACTGTTGGCATCATGTCCATGGCCATGCCACGATTGTCTCAAATGACCCCATCGTGCCCATGTGCGCGCTTCAAAAGGGTGCCAAGATCTCCTGAAACAAACCTTCGCTTGCGGTTCGCAAGAAGCGCCGCAAAGCGACTGCGGGAACGGATCCCGTCGCCAAGCCTACCCACTCCGTCGGGAGGCACGCATGGCAACCGAGATTGGATTTGTTTTACCTTGAATCTCTGGGCTTCCAAATCGCCGTGCGCTAAACGCCAAGCACAACTTGACGACCGCCATGAGAAGGCCGGCGCTCGCCTCGGCGGCTGTTGGTGACTTGGGCCCCTGGACAACAGTTCAGGGGCCGGGAGTCAACTCCATCGGGAGACAAGGAGGATGACGGATCTGACGGGCCGTAAAGGGGAGGGGATGTCGTTGTGGTCTTCCAAGTTGAACGATAAATATGTCGGTTGGATCCCGTTGTTGAAGGCTTCGGATTCTTCCCAACCAGCCACAGTCTCTCTTTCGTGTCTGTATCGACTCTTCCCTTCCTTTCGCTTTTTGGAAAAGCATCCTGTTCTCTTCGTTTACCGCAACGACTTGACGTCCGTTCGCTATCTTTTGCAACCAAACTTGACTGAGCACCACTGCCGTTTAGACTTTCACCAACCAAAACACCACTAACACCAACACCACCACCGACCTTTTTTCACCATGAAGACCACCGGTACTGTTGCGGCTATCCTCGGCCTCGTCTCGAGCGCCACCGCCCATTACACCTTCGACAAGCTCCTGCTCAACGACCAGCAGGTCGGCGGAGACAACACCTACATCCGGAGGCACACCAACGGGTACATGCCCATCAAGTTCAAGAACCCCCCCGAGGGCTCCATCACCCCTCTCGACGCCGACTTCGCGTGCAACAAGGGCGCGACCGGCGCCCCCGAGGTGATCTCCGTCAAGGCCGGCGACAAGATCGGCCTTCGCCAGGCCTTCGGCGCCAACGGCATCCAGCACCCCGGCCCGTCGCAGGTGTACATCGCCCCCGTCAGCAACGCCAAGAGCGACGCCGGCAGCGACTGGTACAAGATCCACCAATCCCTCGTCTGCCGCGAGGGCTCCCCCGAAACCTTCAAGACCACCGCCTGGTGCAGCTGGGACGAGAATAACGTGTGGGGCGTGATCCCCGCCACCATCCCCAACGGGCAGTACCTCCTCCGCGCGGAGCACATCGGCCTGCACGGCGCGCACGACGGGCAAGCCGAGTTCTACACGTCGTGCGCGCAGATCGAGGTCACGGGCAACAGCGCGACCTCCATCCCGGGCCAGTCCACCAAGTTCCCCGGCGGCTACCAGGCCGCCGACCCGGCCGTCAACTTCAGCGTCTGGGGCCGCTCCACCTCGTACGACGTCGCCCCCGGTCCGGATGTCATCCCCGGCGGCACCATCCGCGGCTCGGCCAGCGGCGCCGGCGGCGATAAGTTGCAAACCGTCCCCGGCGGCGAGAGCAGCGAGGCGGTCGACAACAGCGACCCCACGCCGTCGCCCTCGCCCTCGCCTTCGGTTCCTGCGCCTTCGCCGTCCACCCCGCTCCCGTCCCCGACTGGTGCGCCTGTCCCGGCTCCCACGCTCCTGCCTGGCACCGGTGAGGGCAATGGGAGTGGCAAGGGTAAGGGTAAGGGCAAGTGCCAGCGCGCGTTCCCGCGCCGGGCTGCGGCGCTTTTGGTGGCGAAGAAGGATGCTCAGCAATAGAGTGTTTGTAGTTGATTTATGGGCATGGTTGTTGCCAAGGAACCTTGCATGCACATCGCCGACCCCAATCAGGGGGGAGTCGGGGGGGAAGACCGCATTATCCAACTTTTTGTGACTAGCGGTTGAACGAGAGAGAGATTTTGAGGCGGGTTCCTGCAAGCTGGTTTGCAGTTTTTGTTCATTACTTCTGTATATTGCTGTTCGCGGCTTGTATGTACAATTCATTTTGAAGCAGTCTTCAAGGCTTTACTTGACCGCGCGACACGCATTGCTTGGACCCTTTCCACACCCCAAACTTGGGATGAATTATCATTCTCAGGCAGGGCACTCATGCCAACTCCAAGTCCTCATTCCGTCGGTACTTGCTTCTACCCCGACGTCTTTTCTCACTCTGATCATCAGCCCATCCACAACCGATTTCTCTCTGCTTTCTTTCTTTTGTCACTCACCGCTTGCCCCCGGAGGCATTTGCCGTCATCCTACCTAGGCACACACGCAGTGTTGCCTAGCTAAAGCCATGTTCTTCGACGGCACCCGGGCCCTCTACCATTCCATCTTGGCCGTGACGGTTTGTGTCCACACCACTGCAATACGCTTCCTGCCTCCCAGGGCGAGGTCTCGAGGATGAAGCAACGAAGCTATAGACACCATCGGTCTCACGACGTCTCGAAATTCAAATACCTACACTGCGAACTCAACCCAGAGAACTCAATGGAATGACGCGATTACAATATGGATTCCTCAAACTCGTCTCTTGCAGACAGGCTCCAGATAATCCGTGCCGCTGTAAGAGGGGCCCCTTGCTCTGCTTGAGCTTCGAGGTCGACGAGAACGATGACACGCCCTGTGGAGCACGGGTTCGTGGGGTGCGAGAAGTCGATACGATGATATTCATCACGGCCCAACGGGGTATGGAGAGGACCAATTGCCGCATTGGAGTAGAAACTAAACGCGCCCATGGTCATCGAGGTGCTTGTATCCATGGATCCGATCCGCTTTATAACACATGGTAGGGCCGACCGGACGACAGAGCGTGAAACCACAGCAAGGCGCCGTTGTCCCGAAAAATCGTTCTGACCGATTTGCAAAACCCTCGAGGTTTGAAAGCGTGTTGAAATATGCGGGTGGTACGACCGCGCTTCGCTGTCAACCTGGCTTCCATCGAATCGCGTCCAAGGTGGGCATTCGCCACGTTCGGAAACCACCAGGCCGAGAAGCCAGTCACCCAGTGCAAATGATGTCCTGGGAGAGCTCGAGACAGGGAATTGGAGGCCTGCTTCAGGTGGATGGGAGGAGGATTACGCGTCCGGGCCATCTTTTGTCCAGATTGGTGTAAGCTCACTTGGCAGCAGATCAATCCAGCCATTCAAAATTCGTACCGAAACCTTGAAGCCAGGGCTGACTTCATCCAAGATCCAGCTCCCAACGACACCCTTTATACCCGCGTCTCTCCAACGAACGCCCAACCGCCGTGGAAAGCAAACCCTCACCTTTTCCCAAAGCCCATTCCCAATCAACACCAAAAAAGAAAAGAAAAAAACATCTCTAAAAATGCCCTCCTCCAAACCACCCTTCTCCAGCGACACCCTCCCCGACCAACCACCCCCCTCCTACGAAACCGCCATAGCACCACCAACAACAACCACAAACCGCGAAACCACACAAACCTTCTCCCCACGCCAAAGCAGCAGCAGCACCTCCACCACCTCCTCCTCCTCCCAACACGAGCGCGCCCCCCTCCAAAGCAGCGCCTACGCCGCCACCACCGCAGACGGCTACCGCGCGGCGGCGCCCATGACCGCCGCCGCCGACCAGGCGAAGAAGAAGGGGTACGGGTGGGAGATGGACGCCGAGCTGCTGGAGTCGCTAGAGAAGCATCCCGGGTGCTGTTTCAGTACGCGGGGGGGGTGTTGCTTCAGTGATACGGGCGGGTGCTGTTTTAGTGAGACGGGCGGGTGCTGTTTCTCGAGTCAGGGCGGGTGTTTCTTTTCGAGTAATGGGGGGTGTTTCTTTTTCGAGTCAGGGGGGGTGTTGCTTTGGGGCGGAGGGAGGTTGTTGTTCTGCGGAAGGGGGTGGGCGGGAGAGTCGTTGAGGGGTGGGTGATTGATGAGGTGGGTGATAGGGGGGTCTGGGGGAGGGAGGGGAGGTAGTG